AGCCGTGCCCAATAAACCTGAATATAGCAATCGTGGCGCCCACTGGTCTTGCCATATCTACGCAAACAGTCTGTATTTCCCGCTTGTGAAACCGTTGCTGTGTGTTGGTAGACCAGTCCAGCCATCCTCTGGTGAAGGTCCATACGACGGAATAGATGGCCATATTGGTGATGTGGATTGTGCTGTGTTTGTTATTGATGCCGTTGGGAGAGACGTTTGGGAGGAAGAGAAGAAGAAGCAAGATTCAGCTTACTTCCACCTTCATGAGATTTATGAGTTGTTGGAGGCGAATAAAGCTTCCAAGTAAATAGAGTTCTGTTTGTCAGAGAAACTGCCAATGTGCATCAAAAGTAACTGAACATGTCGATACTAAATACGTAGGTACGATGTACATGAGGATTGATCCAAAAAAGGGGAAATGAATGACGCTCCCCAATCATACGTATTTATAGTAGATTTTGGGACATTCCCTCCCGATTTGTTCTCGGGTACGGGAGAGCCACTACCTAGTTTATATCGGGATTAGTCGTGACGTAGAAGCCAAACTTGTTGGCGCTGTTTTCTCTAGCTTTTTTCTCTTCCTTCTCTTCTCTAACACCCCTTAAACTCCCATATACAATAATCGCAAAGTGGCCCTTGAAGATGACTAGTTATAACTAACGATCTAACGGGAAGATGGGTGACGTGCGTGTCCTCTCAGAAAATCCTTGCAAAGGTACTGGTTCATATCCCATGTAGGTGTCTGCCCAGACCGTCTCCTGGCGCTGATCTACTGGCTATAAGGCTACCAGTCATCTCCAACTGCCCAGGGACCACACGTTTAATCTTCACCTTGATACGCCTGGGTCTACTCCTTGTTTAGGCTCAAATACTCGCCCCCGGCCTTTGAATTTTATAGGGAGAGGTCTACTGAGCCGTCGAGTTATGTGGCAAATCTGAGTAGCTGCAGAAGCTAAGTTCTGGATTATGGATTTAACAACTACCTGCTTGACCAAAGTAAGGCCTAGAGAAACCACTGCGATTACCAGCGCATGCCGTAGGCACATAGGGCGGGATCTGATTGAGGTTGAGCCATTGGACATGTCATGCGCAGCTTCATTACATGTTGGCGGCATGAGGTTTATTCACAAGATACAGAGTAGCCCCATCCCTGGCGCCTCAATGCGAATATATCATCCGTAATTTTGAATAGCTCCCCCTTCATATCGTGTGTATGTGACATGCGACATGTTGGAAGCGAATTCGGATTCTCCCTGTCAACACGCTTGAGTGCATCAATAAGTCATTCTTGGCATATTCCCATGTACAACTCACCGATGTATTGCTACCAATAATTCCAGGCTTCGTAGGAATTCAAGAGTGAGCTTTCTTGATACCTTGACGACCTTCGCCCTTTTTAGGCGCGTCTCAATGAATTTCTTTAGGTGTATTTTTTGTTGTTTTTAATGTTTTCGATGATCTCCTTGTATCTTTTTTTCATGTCATTTTTCATGTTGTTCCCAGCCATTCTTTAACTGTGTCGACGGCGATTATTTGTCATTAGAGGGTTCACTGCCTCACTTCCCGGCCAAGGAAGACATCCCTCCAAACCAACCATAGGCTCTGTTAAGCATACGGCCATACAACGAGTAAGTCTGAAGGGTAATTTCCCCCGCGTATGGGGTTTCGTGGAATCGCATACTTCTTCGGATATCCAGGCTACTCGGTGGGCACTATCAGACAGAGCCACCAAACCTCAGAGTCATCAGGCCCACCAAAGCCAGGAAGCCATTCCATTGACTTCGCCCGGTTAAGGTCTTATAGGGTTAAAAAAGATGACAAGGAAGACCTTGAGGGCGAGTTCTTGTCACGCTGTTAGCTTTGATGGCGAAGAATCAGCACAGTTCGTATTTCCAAGGCGCTTTGTCCACTCACTTCAGGTGCTCTGCCAGCCAGAGGATTTCTTCGTCTATAATATATATTTATGAAAAATATTCTATCGCCTGTGAGGAACTGATGAGAGAGCAAGGAGGAGACTACGAACAAACAGAAGCTGGTTAAATATATACCTAGTGGAAGCCTGACAAACCTGGCATCCAGCAGATACTCTGTTTCAACAGAAACCAATTGTCCTCTACAAAATGATTACTTACTAGATCTCCCAAGAGACCTGACCTGAGGCCTTTCAGATTAACTTTTGGCTCTAATGAAACTAGTGTATTGATAATCCAACTGGAGGTATTCGACCCGATACTCTCAAGGCTATATATTCCTCCAATAACACGATTCAAAAGATCAAAGAGGTCTATTATTCTGCAATTATCAAGCGACAGAGCCCACCCATGGACATCTAAGCAGATGAATGTCTTATGCGAATGGGAAAGAAACAGAAGTTGCCCCCGCTGAACCCGAACTCCAGATTCGAGTCCAGCCACCGCCAGTCACAATGCAAAAAGCACCGAATTAGCCACTCCAACAAACGATTAATACGAAATAACCATCCTCAAAAAAAAAGTGCCGACTTGAAGACAAAGAAACGAAAGTCGTGGATCTCATAAACCCCACCCCGCAAGACCCTGTCTCTACCGAGTGCGACCCGAATCCTGATGCAGATCAGCTGCAAGAATAACCATCCCCATCATTCGGAGAACAGAGGCATGGGCTCCTGAGAGCTCGACGCACAGGTATCTGGAAAACGGTCTTTCAGCGTGACCATGAGAGCCGGCTTATCCCAAAGGAAATAGGCTTTCTGGTCGGCCCAGTTGGTGCTCTCTGGGCGTAGGGATATGTCGAAATGGTAGAGGAGCTTGCAGAGGATGAGGCGGATTTCGCAGTTTGCTAAACTATTAAGAGGGGAGAATATGTTAGTTTTAATTGAGATGATGCAATATGAATGTAGGGTGGACAGTAAGTAACGAACTGTTTTCCAAGGCAGACGCGTGGGCCGAGACTGAATGGCTGTAAGACATCTTTCTTATCTCCCTCGAAGACCGGGTCGGACCCCAGCCAGCGCTCTGGCATAAACTTATCCGGGAAGGCGAAGTTGGATTCGGAGTGGTAGGAGGCGTAGTGGTGGCATGCCACAGTTGTCTGGTCGGGATTAGTACGCAGGTTACAAGTGACATGTAGTGAAACGCGTATACATACGCCCTCAGGGAGAAAATGACCGTTCACGAATGCTCCGCCTTGCGGTACAATGCGTGACAGACTCGTCACGAAGGGCGGGTAGATACGCAGAGACTCCTCGATGACCGCATTCATGTACTTCAGATCCTCCACGGCACGGAAGGTCATTTCACTGTCCTGTTTAAAAGTCGATCGGATTTCGGCGACGAGTCGGCTCATGACGTGTGGAGCGGTACATAGGTAGAAGATACAGCCGGATAGTAGGGTTGCGGATGTTTCGCTACCTGCCACGATCAGACTGTTATTGATTAGCGTTAGCGGGCTATATCAATCCCCCGGAAAAGCATGACGTAAGAGAGGAAAGGGCGAAAGTATCTCAAAGCAACGAAAACCACTCACATAAAACCGTTAGAATGAATCTCAGCCCGAGTCATAATACGCTCGCTCTCGCGGTACTGGCCCTTCTCCTCGCTAAGCCCATGCTGGAGAATAGCGGACATAAAGTCCGGACGGGCCATATTCGACTCCAAGCGTCGGTCGACCTTCTGCGCACTCAGATCAAAGTGTTCCTGGCCGACGCGTTTGACTTCTCGTGGGATGAATAAGTCCAGGAGGCCTTTGAGCATGGGGAACTGATTCGCAGCTCCAATGAAAGCAATAGCCTTGATGGAGTTGAAGATCAACTTAATCCACGGATGAAGCTGGTTATCTTTCAGGCAGTCGAAGGACTCGCCAAACATCAGGTCACCGGTGATATCAAAAGTGGTAAAGTTCATCCAACTTTTGATATCGACGATGGACGTCCCCTGCCGAATTTGAGACCGCAGTTTGGTGATCAAGGTATCGACATAGCCTGTGATAAGACCTTCTTGATCTCTCAATGCCTTCTCAGAGAAGGCATGGGATAGCAGCCGTCTCTGTCTTGCGTGGGTCGCATTATCGACCGCACAGACCAAATGATCGACTCCATTTGCCGGAGCTACATAATGGCTCCGATTCTTGGGGAAGCAACCGCCAGGTCTGGCGCCGTAAATATCGCGAAAGGCCTGTGGTGTGTTGAAGGCCAGTTCATTGGGTCCAATGCGCAGGATGGGACCGTATTGCTTGTGCAGTGCCAGCATGTCCAGGTGGTTATGGCCACGGAGGACGGAGACATTCGACGGGATGCGAGATATTGCCCACAGCTTCGGACCGGGGAAGTGCCGCAGGGGCGACCAGCAAAACGCGTAGATGATGCTGTAGGTGACCCAGAGTATGAACTGTTGATTGCATGCTGATTAGCGCGGATTTCTCTGCAAACGCCTGTCAGAGAGGAAGGACTGGTTAGATTGCATTGCTCAGAGCTGCTGTGTTTTCCCGGGGAGATATCTTGGGAAGGACTGGCTCTACTGTCGGGTTCTTTTCTTGCATGAAACAAACGAGGGTTGGGAGCACAGGTAATGCAACTTACCAGGCATCCTGCAGTCGCGCCCCAGAAGCCAGGACCTGAGGTTGCCCAAGGCATGGTGAGATTTGAAGTAAAAGAGGTCATAGAGGTCCACAGGGTCATGTACTGCCCTGAAGCCATTTAGTTCGGGGTCATTTGGGTGGTTCCTTTTCCGGATAGGAATGGGATTTGGTAAATATTCTCCTTTTCAAGATTTGAGAAAGTGATTGGACACTGAACTGAGACGTAAAAGAAAGAGAAAAGAGCAAAGAAACGCTGAGTTGTACCAGTTGAATGGTAGACGTAAAGGTGAGGGATACCATCGGGGCCAGGCGGAAGGAGTACAAACGGGATATCTCATTACTCCCGCATCCAGAGACATAGAGCCATATCAAATCTATCTACAATATTTATTTGACTCCGAACATCCTCGGAAAGATCCCTAGTCAAATTGCCGATTCGACTGGGACTAAGACGGCTTCCGACCGTAAACGACATGCAGCTTGCAGTACGTATGCACCGCGGGATTCTTGAGATCTTTGCGCACACCTGCTAGGAATACCTGAGTATCATTATTCGACCATCCCAGCACACGAGTGAAAAGAGCTAGCGAGTAGGATTCAACCGCCATGAGAAGGGAGCATTGGTTGTACCGACCAATCTCCTTTTGCACGGGATCCCTAGCCCAAACACTCGATGGAACCTAGAAAGACCAAAACAGTCAGTTCTAACGAAAGAGGCAAACAAAAAGCAAAGCCCAATCACAGAGAAGACCGGGGTGAGGAGAAGGGTCGCACCTTGTACACCTCATCTCGAACATCTTCAAAACCAGCCTCAACCAGCCGCTGCCGGTGGCCTTCGGCGATATTCATAGGTCGGTGAAATGCCTCGCTAGCCTGAGTCAGTCGATCAAGAAACTCGCACAACGCCGGCGCAAGACGCATCGAATCATCGTCCGACCTGAGCATGACCTCAAACTCCTGCAACTCAATCCATCCACCTGGCCGCAGATGTTCGTAGCTCTGGCGCATCAGCCGCGGCCAGTCGGCGATAGCACCGCCCAGATCGCGGGCATGGATGAAGTCAAAGGGCCGACTTGGGCTGTACAGCCATTGGGATTCGGCGTCGTCGACCACAAAGCGAAGGTTAGGTGGGACCCATGACGGCTGGATAGGACTTAGATCTGTGCCTGTTACCTCGGCACTGGGAAAGCTGTCTGCGAAGTCGATGGCCCAGATTCCGGTTCCGGTACCAATGTCAAGAGCGCGTTTTATATTACTGTCCAGTGGCGCTCGGAAGAGGCAGCCGTTTAGCACGAGGTTCCGGACGTGATGGAGGAGATCTTGTCGATCTTGTTCTGGTTCGTCGTTTGGAAGGACGTAGTGGCCTTCGCGATATGAATGATAACGCCTTCCATTTTCGTAGGCATAGTTTTTCACATCGGATAGCAATGAAGCTGTGTAACTGGATGTGTTTTCGGATTGTCCATCGTCGAAGACTGAGTCTGAATCATCGGTTGTTGATGCTGCGGATGATGTGTCTCCATCATCATTGTTGTTGTCTGGGGATAAAGAGTTTACAGGTAGAGATGCCGTGGATGATCGAGTGGGACCATCATGACTTACTTCAACGGGCATGCTTGTTGGGTTCATTGGGGCCGGTGGTAAAGAATGCGGTGTCGACAGATCCCACGTTGAAGTTGACGATTCAATTTCTGTGAATGAGGTGGTTGATCCAGGCATCAATGGGTTTAGGTCCTCCCCGTCACTGTCCTCGGAGCTTTCCTCCGGAATTGGGGCCAGCCCAGGCGATGGGACAGTGTTATCTTTGCGATGATTGATATTTGTTTCAAGCTCAGAGTCCAGTAATGGGAGTTCAGGTATATCCGGCAAGCCAGAGGCACGAATTATTGGCGCTGGAATCGAAGAAGTGGGCGACAATCGCCTGGTGGACTCTGAGCCTTCTTCCATTGCCGACTCTATTTGGTCGAAAGTCCGTTTTAACGGGATACAAGGAACAGGTTCCAGAACTGGAATGTCTGGCGTAATTTTCGTGGAATTTGGCACGTCGTCAGACTTCGACAACATTTGCGAAGAATCAGGATTCCCTGTCAAGGCTGGATACGTGTGAGAGGACAATATATCGGTACCCAGTTCAATTCTCGTGTTGCGTCGCCGGTCGTCCAAGCACATGGGGTAGATACAAAGGAAGTCAATCATGTCTGGGGGAGGTAGCTGTGGGGAGCCAACCTGTACAGTAAATGATATCGGACCACAGTGAGCAACGGACTACTTAGGAAGGTATTGGGGAAGACACTAAATACAGAGCAAGTCAATTCAAGTGAAAGAACATGACTTCTCATAGAATTGTCCCTTTCCCCAGGGTATCACAAGGAATATCAAAAAGGGAAAAGTGCCGGAGTATATGGCCAATTCTAATATCTACAGGGGTTGGCGACATATTACGGCAATCGGGCTTTTTGCCAGCAGAAATCCAACGCCAATGTATGAGTTCCAAGGATTCCAGACTGGTTTGCTTCTCATAAGGTTGAAGAAGGCAAAGGTATCTATATAACTAGACTTGGGATCTCGCCACAGCCTTGATGCCCTACCACAGAGGAAGAAGCAATACCCAAGACATTGGGGTTTGTACACACAAGTACAAGCATGACATAGAGCACGTATGCCCCCATCATTTAATTCAAGGGAGCGTGTCTCGACTGGGCACGGGGAGCCGTGCAAGAGTCCTAGCTCGGGTGCTTTGGAGTCGTCACAATGTCCAATGTGGTAAACAAGCAGGGAACAGGTTGTCAACACGGGTGGCGGGTTATAAGACAATCCCGTGGGGTTGAGCAAGCAGACTTGAACATTTTAGCGTACTCGCCTCGAAAGCGCTATTGTGCAAGCCGGAGTGCTGGCTGTTTTGAAGTTGATCAATCCTTAGGCAACCTCAGTCATGATAATGACTATATATATGGGACCTCGATGGCCAGAATGATGATGAACGGAGAGTTGAAGAGAAGAAGGCTGATATCATACGAAAAATGACTATTTGTAGGCCAAGTAGATACCTCTTCTATATTGTAAGGCGGTAGAAAAGGCGGTAATATGATTTCCCTTGGGGAGATTATCCATGCAGGAGGCCGAACCCTAGTTGATCTTTAAATCTTTTCTCCGAATGTGGTTACCTCTATGGACATTCTGTATTCTGTCATATTTTGGGCCCTTTTAGTATAAGTTCTCTGTCCATTTCTCGAAGCGTCGTCACACTGGCCAGGTCATCGTGTTGCACGGAGGACTGATAACCGGATTGGATCGGCGGGATTGATATCCTGTCGAGGGTCGGACAAGGTGAGAATAATATGTTTTCAGCTATCGGGTGACCATTCCAAAGAGCGCAGTCCGTGCGATGTTTCATGCTGTTCATCGGGTTTACTATTATTGGCTGTGTAAAAGTAGAAATCATGTACGTGCAGGAATACCTCATTGAGCGTTGAATTGATTTCTGTAAGCCACACAGTATCTGCATTGCAGTTGCAATCGCAGCTGAAGCATCGGGGTATTTTATCTCATTCGTCATCATTAATGCGCCCGGATCGCCTGGAGTCAAGGGCTCGGTTTTGTCTCCATCAATTAATCTCTACCCGGGCCTCGAGGAAACCGTCCACCATTTCCTAGTCCAGGCCCTTCTCCCTTTTCGGGCTTCACCTCCAATCCTGCTTGGAGAACGGCAGCATGCAGAATCCGCAAATGGGCCTCCTCGTTGAATTCGCGTAGGCTCTCCAGTGAGGTACGCTGCACCTCTGCCCGCAGGTCGATCTGGTTCGACACCAGCAACCCCTTCTCAAGGTCGATGCGAGCGTTTAGCACACCATCCTGAATGAGTCCGACCAGTTCTTGCACAAACGGCGAGGAAATGTCCGTGGGACGCGCTTCGCCGCCAACGACTGTAGGGGCAAATATCTTCGCCATTGAGTCGAGCGTGACACGGCTGAAAGGAATCATGTACTGCTCGATGGACTTGGTGCGGATAAGTTTGTACAAATGGGGGATGTGACGCTGAAGATGAATATCAAGTAGGTAGTCAGGGCGATAAGCTTCGAGAATATCAAGGCATTGGCGGAACTTGAAGTTGCAGAAGAAAGCGATGGCGCGGCGGATATGAGGCTCGAGTTCGAGGAAGTTACGGAAAGTCTGGCTGTCAAGGACGTTCTTCTGCAGCTCGTCCCGGTTCATAGAGGCGAGAGCACACAGACCACCATAGACGGCAACATCGTTGGGAGTGATGACTTCATTGTAAGTGTCGCCCAGGTCCGGCGGGACGGACAAAAAAGAGTTTGCCGCTTCGAGGAACGAGGCTTGGTGCATCTGAGATAGAGCTGAAGCGGCTGATATTTTAGATAGGTTTTTGGCTGCGTCCTCTGGCTTTGACTGAGAGTTGCGCAGTCTGTGCACGTTCGACTGCACAGACATCCAGTCACCGCGTTCAGTAGCGACGTTGACCATTTTAAAGAGCATGGAAGTGATGTGGTTCGGGGTAGTGCAATAGTCTCTCATGCGAGAGTAAGCCTTGGAGGCAGCAGCCAGGTCACCAGTCTCGTAATGATGGTTGCCCAAATCTTCATGGCCCATCTATAGAGGTTAGTGTCACGCATATCCCAATACCATGTTCTCATTCCTTACTCGGATGCTCTCTTTAATCAAATTGTTTTTGTATCCCCGTAGCTCGTGTTCCAATCGCTCAGTCTGAGTCTGTACGTATCGATTGGTTTCCTGGACCCAGGCGGCGTCAAGAGAAGCGTCGGGATCGTTCGGAGCTACATCCGCCAGCGCGCGGACAGCCCTCTCATATCGTGAAACATCTTTGCTAGTTCTGGCTTCGGCGATCGCTGCCTTGAGGGCATCTGTCGAGAGCAATGGGGAGCATGTGCCGATAAGGTAAAGACGGTCGTAGCGAGTGCGGCCTGGCCAAGCATTAGAATAAGAAGTGTATGTCAAAACAAGAAATGTCACTCACCAGTGTAGTTTGCAATGTAAGTATCAAGATCGAATTTGGGGGGCTCTGCCACATTAGACATGTCAGCGTTGTCTGGGCTCAGCAACATCATCGCAGATATAGCCCCGCGCGGGGGTTAACATACCGTCCACTTTCACTAGTACCCTTGCTCGAGGGGTGGTAATAGATGTAGTAGCCTCCAGACCTGCAGCATCCATATCTGCCCGAGACAGACCAGTGGCATCTGGAAGCGTGTCCATCTTCCGGGCTGTTCAGATGATGCGTTGTGGGTAGAAGTGGCACTGGCAAATTACCTCGAGGAACTGGAGCTTGATTGACAAGCTAGTGATTCTATTGAAGGAAGATAGCAAAGAATTTGAACGCTAAGAACAATATGCTGTTTAGGGCAGAGAATATGAGGTGGGTGACAAGTCAGTCGATCGATCATTGTGATGGGTGATTGATTATCTGGCAGAATCTGACCGCCTACTACACCGCCATCCAGAACTCCTATGTGAACGATGGACGTAGATGAGGATCTACATACATGGGGATACCACAAAGGAAACTGTGATTCACTGAGAGCATCCCGAACTTTTAGCCTGAAATATCTTCTTGAATAGATCAAATGAACCAAAAGGCTAAAGACCGATCTAGAAAACTGGAAATGCCGCTGAAATCGTAAAAGTATATGTCTATGGGACAGCTTGGTTGCATTGACACGCGACCCGAAGACTATTTTGATCGCCAGAATGCATGTATAGAAGCATCAAGCCATTAAACACTACATAAAGATCCATGGGGCTAAGATATTAATTCAGGTGCCTGAGGCACAGAGATTCGCGAAGCCCGAGGAGTGGACCTTCCCTATCCATGTACCTCGGGACTTGAGTAATCAGGAAATTAAGCACCAAGTCAAGCTGTCGGCTACATAAAAGCGGGCCAGGGCCCGAATATCTTGATTACAATCCTTGTGTTCGCTGACGGCATAAACAGATATATAATCGACAGAGCTCGGCATTCAGTAATCACAAAAACCGAAATATATATAACGACCCTAATCTAGGACATCAATCGACCCTCACTGGACTCTTACCTACATAACCACACCACAAACCCACCAAAGCGCTCGAAATGCCCCAAGGACAGCAAGTCGCCCTAATAATAGGCGCATCACGCGGAATCGGGCGCCAGATCGCCATCGACCTAGCAAAGAACGGCTACGCCGGTACAGCCACATGCAATCCCACATAGACGATCAAAACTAACCACGAACCCCAGTAATGCTATGCGCAAAAACGACCTCGGATGCATCGACAGTGACTCCATTCCCGCCAGACCCGAACTCATCGCAGTCCACCATCAACACAGTAGAGCGCGAGATCCGCGAAGCGGGCGGGCACGCGGCGACAGTCGCAGTTGACGTGCGCGACGCCGCGCAGATCCAGCATGCTGTCGAAGAGACGGTGCGCGTCTTCGGCAAGCTCGATGTGCTTGTGTACAACTCCGGCGCGATTTGGTGGTCGGCTGTGGAGAATACGCCTCTCAAGCGGTTTAAGCTGATGCAGCAGGTGAACCCTGAGGGACTGTATGCGACTATTCAGGCTGCTTTGCCGTTATTTGAGAAGGGAGGCTGGAAAGGGCGCATTGTTGTCGTTTCGCCGCCTATTTATTCGAGGTTCTTTAAGGGGAAGACTGCTTATGCGATGGGTGGGTTTATATCTTTTATCTGTGACTTTCGGAGACTGGAGTCGACATATAGTGTGTTTGACTATACGTGCTGATATCGACGTATTGTATGTAGGCAAAGTCGGAATGAGTGTCTTGGTCAAAGGCCTGGCTATGGACTTCGTGCGTCAAGGCCGAAATGAAATGGCGGTGACAAGTATCTGGCCTGCATCGGTATGTGCCTTCGTCTTGGTTTTATTCGGAGCTGGAGTCTGTGAAGGGATGCTGACTGCATTATTTTCCAGTCGATTGAATCAGCAGCTACAGAGCATAATAAGGGACCCGACACATCCTACAAAAAGGATTTGAGAAAGCCGGTATGTCCGTTTCGGAGCGTCTTATAATATCGACTTTCCCTGGTCTTTTCAATACTGACAATCTGTAACAGACAATATTCTCAGATGCTGTTCTGGCTATGCTTCGTGCCCCGCACCAAACAGTGAACGGGCTCCTGGATACAGACGAGGACTTTCTCCGGGAGAAATGTGGTGTCTCCGACTTTTCAAAGTACTCTGTAATCCCAGGATCGACACCACGGCGGATTATGCCGCACAACTTCCCAGTTCTAGAGGTTGCAGAACAGGATGATGAAGGGCAGCGCATGGATAGCACGAAGATGCGGGCAAAGATATAGGTTCGATGATGATGAGACGTCAATTGAACCTGTCGCTCCTTCAATGACGGAAATGCATTTTGATATAGTACTCGGAAACTTGAGAATATAAATAGCCGATGAATGTATTAGATAGGATCGAACGATGTTCTATAGCAAAATACACTATCAATGTAGGCAATGCTAAAACAAGACGTAATCAATGAGCTGCCAGCAATATATTACTCCGTAAACTCACGAGCAAGAAAAGAAAAAAAGCAAAAACAGACGCTCAATGCTAATGCAGCCGGAAAATGCAAACCCAAAAAGAAGCAAAAACTAGCCAATATTAGTGAAGTCTCGAGCAAGAACATCCGCAACTCCACGTTCCATTATCCGAATGACCAGCTGGACCCTTGAATCATAGGGTGTGCCAAGACCTAGGCCCTTACACTCTACAAGAGAGTAGCAAATCCGGCAACAAAACCACCAACCAAAACACATAGCCCATATACATGGCTCATATCAACAGAGGCCATGCGCGGAGCAGCACCAGTAGCTCCATTGACAAGAGTATTGACGGGGGTCTCAGATGCAGTAGGGGTAGGTTTGGCGGTAGTAGTAATATTAACACGCTTGGGATCCTGGGCTCCACAGGGGTTCTTGACTCTGCATTTATTCTGGCAAGTGGAATCACCATTGCATTTGTTGACGCATTGGTTGTTGGTTTCCGTGCAGGTGTAGTAGGGGATTGTCTGGGAATATTCGCTGGCGTTGGGGGTGACGCCGTTGCTGCATAGGCAGTAGTAGAGTAGTGTGTCCTAAGGATTTGGGGTTAGTTGAGACTTTGCTTTTCCCTAGAGGAATGCTTACGGCTGAGCAAGTGTTTGATGTTGGTGTGCCCGAGGCTCCTGGTAGTTGTAGGCAGAGGATAGGACATGCGGATGTTTGGGAGTTACACCAGGCCTCTGAGGGAGGGAAGACATGTTAGTATGATGACTGTATACATAGGGGGAGGGATGTAGAACATCGACTGACCTCTTGTAGCATAGGGAACTGACGTCGGGTCAAACTGGCTGTTGACTAGAGTGGCAGCCGAAGCGAGGACGAACATGGTCTTGGACAGCATCGTGTCGGTTGAGTTTGGTGATAACTGGGAATGAGATCAGAAATTGCCAGCGGGCAGCTACTAAATTCCAGTGTAAGCCTTTCTTGAAGAATGCCAGTGACAGTCTGATGCACGCCCCAGAGCCCAAATATAGAGATAGCGATAGCTACCTCGGGTAGATGGAATGAAGGGGGGAAGTGTAATGGAACTAGGAAATGACTTGGAACCTACGAAGCTTGGATTCCTAGACACCTTCGACAACAAGGCAAGGAATAAAGAGGGATGGAGATGTTCGATGACGATCTAAAGCCAATAGCAAGAGGTTGTTTTTCGAACATGTAGTGTACGGGTGCAGGTAGCTCGAGGAGGAAAAAAAAGTAGCCAGCAAGGGAGGAGTGGGGAGCTCATAAAGGAAAAAAAGCAATCACAGGACTATAACAGCCTATGTATAGAATGTACTAGTTGGTTTGCATGGTGGCACGCACTAGTGCCACCCTCGCGGTTCTACCACATCGATTGTTTTTTCATCTTTTATTCCCTTTTTGGCACAGCCAAGACCTCCCCTTTCAAGTGAGTTCAGTAGCGAGACCCGTTGTTTTGAAAGTGAGGTGTGGATTCATTGAGGAAGGGTCCGCTATAGGGGTTTGCCCTTGAGATGTGTCGATCCGGAGATATCTCGATGATCTCGGATTGCAGCGAACGTTTGTACCCAGGTGGTCATTATGTGTCACATCTGTCATCCGGTACCCGGTCTCCACTACAAATATATCGTGCTCTTCAAAGACAGAAAAGTGGCATGTCTCAGCCTGAGTTGGAGAGAATTAAACATTAGAGGACGATCAAGCAACGCTTACCATATTGGGATTAGTGTGCTGCTTGGCTTTGAGTCTGATGAAATTCTGAGAGTCATGTTCAGGAAAAGCAGACAAATTTGAAATTCTCGTCATATCTTTGATCTCGTGGAAATACAGAAAATGTCATTCAAAAGGGAATTGGGCATTTCCCCTGGCATATCCATATCTCTAGGTATGGACGTGCCCACCTGGGCGGACAGCCTTAGCTAAGCCACTAACCCCGAACCAGCCATAGCCCGTGACTGCCGTTGACTCCAACTGAATTTCCCTATTAAGCCTAACACTGCACACTTCACCTCTCGCTATCTTGCCACATACACTTCCCAAGGTTAGTCTGTCTCACCTCGGATCCCTTGTACAACTCCGTGCAAGTCCGGCGCATCCTCGCATCGACCCGATGTCCAAAATAGCCGACTCCCTCCACCTAGTACTTTATACTTGCCACCCCGCATAATGGGGGGAAGACCTCGGGACATCCCCGAACTGAGCCACACCCACTTCAAACGCAATGAGCCTCAACAGCAAAGCTAACGGACCTCATTCCCTACCAAACAGGCCAACACCCGCCATCCCTCACAGCATCTAATGGATGGAGCCAGCATCCGAGGAGGCCGGACCGGCATCTAAGCCCTCCTCCCCACACTCAGATATCCAGCCCGCCCCCGCACTCCGACCTGAAGCCGAGGACGTCCATTGTAATTCCACCGCGACAAACACCAACAACCACCATGGCCCGCCCCAGAGCTCCGCATCCTCCATCTCCACAACATCCCGCCCCGTCTCCGCCGTAGTGCCCCCCTACTGGCGCCGACACGAGCGCAATACCTCGCACGTCTCGCAGTCATCGTTGCGTGGCGCTGCTCGCATCACTCTAGAAGACCATACTGCGGACCCGAACTCGGAGACGAGTCGTGGGCTCTGGGCGAGTAGCGTTGCTATTGATGATCATGTTGTTGTGCGCGGTATGACGGGGGTCGGGTCGTATGTTGTGTGGAATTGTACGGTTCAGACGCTTGATGTGAGTTTTGGATCTCGATGAGAGGGGATGCGATTGGAATGGTTTCTCTAATTTTGGTTGTTTCTGGTATAGGGCGGACCGATTGTTGTTCGGATGAGGTGTGTTGCTTATCCCCCTTTTCCCTGTCTTTGTTCCTGTTTGGGAGGACATTTAGCTGATTCTTGAACTTGTTATAGATACTCCGAGTTTGATGACCTGCGCCAGCGGCTGGTTGATTCTTTCCCGCATGCGAGGAATGCATTGCCTGCATTGCCGCCGAAAAGTGTTATCTGTATGTTCTATGCTCGTCTTCCCTTTTATATCGCGGTGCAGTTCACTAATGATCACGAAGATAAATTCCGACCGAAGTTCCTGGAATCTAGGCGTGTGGGGTTGGAGTATTTTCTCAAGTCAGTATCCCATCGCACCTCCATGATTACCATGCATTCATTGGCTAGACCTATTTCTCACATCCTTCCAGCTGCGTCCTTCTAAACCCGGAGTTCTCAGGATCCCCTATTGTCAAAGACTTCCTCTTCGGTCGAGTCTGTTAATTGAATCATCTTTCTTTACTGGACGATGCGGGATCGGTTACATGGCTGGGCGTCTAGGAATCGGATTTTGATTGTATTGTACATCATGACTTACATTTGGAGATGATGCTGAGGGTTGAACACAAGCTCGAGTATGAGCTCCTCCAATTCCTCAGCACTGGGAATATCTCTTTCAACTATTCCAATTCATCAAGTGAGACTTTACTATACAGAAAAGAACACGATCTACATAATCATGGCAACCGACCAAGCAAACACCAGGTAGAGGGAGCGGTTCAATCAATACAGAAAGTAGAGAGGTACGTACATACATAATCGGACATGGAATTTTTCAACAGAACTGAACAATGACGCCACTAGAGTACAAAGATCCCAGCGGGAACACCAGGCCAAGCAATTAGAACAGAACGCCTTGAGTATGATGTAGTGTCCAGGATCTGACATAGCAACGAAAGAAAGGGAAGATGTCTTAACGCACACAGGGCGAATAGAATACAAGAACCTCCTCCTCAAACCCCTTACCCTTAGGGTTCTGATCAGCGGAACCCTCCTTCTTACCACCAGCCTTCAACTTGCGAGTCAACACACAAGCCTCAACATCAGCCCGGAATATCTTCCGCAAGCTGATATTAGCCATATGAGTCATAGCAAGCACATGTCGGGGGCTGGGTATGCCAGATGGGAAAACAAGATAAAGATCCGAGTCTTGAGTGGGGTCTGGGCGGAATTTGTCGTGGTATGCCTTCTTCCCGCCGATGGGCAGACGGTGGAATGCATGACCGTACAAGCCGCGTGTAAACTTCTTACAAGGCCAGGGCATACCGCTGACATCCTCGCCAGTGAGTGATTGGAGCGGTTCGACACCGAGGCCAAGGTATGAGACACCGGCGCGTCGGAGGAGCGCCATTGCCATGATGAGTAGAAGGTCGCTGATTCCATTTACGCTGCCTGGGGCTGCGATACATGGGTCGACATGGTAGCCGCCGGAGCCGAGGCGTCGAAGAGCGGCGAAACCGTTGATTGTTCCGTCGGGGGTGCGGGTGTATATGAATGTCATCAGGTCGGGGACAGCAAAGGGGTCGTAGACAGTTATGAAGGCTTGTGGGCTTGCAGAAGCGTTGCGCTCGGCACGCCAAGCATCGTAGATAGTGATTAGGTTGGTTTGTAGTTCTTGGTTGATGCCGTGAACGGAAGGGGCGTACACGCCCATGGTGATGCCGCCTTTGCTTTTGTTCGTGAGCTGACGGCTCTTGGTCAAGATACGTTTCCCGCTGTTCTCGAGTATCACTTCGTTTGTCTGGGGGTTGAGCACGCGCTCCGTGGCAAAGTGGATCGTTGTCCAGCCCTTTGGTTTGGCGTAGTCTTTGAGGAACGACTCGCTGGCGCCCATGAATGCTATGCTCAAGTGATGCCGCTGTCGGTACGACGCGAATTCGGACAGGAGCTCGGGAATTTCGTCCTTGTTGCATAGTGGATCTCCACCGATGACTGCCACCCCATTCTGGGCCTTAAATGATAATGCTGCTGTTCTTGATTCGTTCACGAAGAATCGGTAGCTGTGATCGAGGATTCCCATGTGTGCGACTTTGCCATGTAGTGCAGCTATGTGTTGGATGGCCGTGATTGTTTTGAAATCGTCGAGTCTGAATACAGCATCTTGGTCTTGACCTTCCGTTTTCGCGTGAAAGGTATCAGTGGTCGATTGGAGCACATTGACCTTGGTTGCTACTTGTGAGTGAGGGAGTACTGGTTCATCACTGTTCACGCTCGTCGCTGGGCTGGAATTGGGTATCGTATGGAAACTTGCTGAACTGGAACAGGAAGAGGCGGGATGTGCTGCAACATTGCTGCGCAAGTGATCCATGAGGGAAATCGACGATACAGCAGAATTGCCGTCATCGCCATTGCGTTTGGGTGTCTCATAAAGCTGATCAATCAAGGAATCTCCAATCTCATCCACAAACAAGGCCTTCTTCGGCTTTAATGCGACAGGACCCGGAGGATTTCCTTTGCGTCCACGGCGTGATCGCTTCTTTTTAGCTGTTGTGGTTGCCTCGTAGGATTCCGCAGCTGCGGTCATGATGATGATAGGGACGTGTTCGGCGTTGGAGACCTAGGCTGAGAATCGGAGAGTAGGATAGATGAGAATAATAATCAAAACGAAAAAACAAAACAACATTGAAATCAACAGGAGTCAACAGCCACAGATCTGTCGGGGCCGACGTCAAAAACGGCGAGAGCCAACGGAGTATGACATTGCACCTGCCTGGCGGTACCCGCGGGCACCGTGTGCTTACAGAAGGTACAGGTAACCCCATTAGGCAGAGGCATTTTCACACTTCGGTAGGCTCCAGTGTTACCTGGCCCTGTACCCAGGGGTATAGATCGATTTCACCAATCACCATGCAGGAATGGGCTGATATCAGCCTTGTGGGTCCTTGGTTTATCCTATCATAGTAAGAAGATGGCAACCTTTCACGCCACAGGAAAGCTTGAAGTGGAGAGTGAACTGAAGAGAAAACCTCGGGAAGAATGTGATACTTTTTACAGCTGAGGCACGTGCTCTCACTCCTTACATGCCCTCATTTTCTAAGTTATTTGTGTTGCACTTCAATATTGCTACCTGGACATGAAGAAAAACCTCTTCTCACACCCCCTATCCCCACCCCTTCGTTTTACACCGCTGAATTCATCTACAGGGCATAGGCCACCAGGCAAACAAACACCATGTTAACATGTTCAGACATGCAGAAAACTAGTTTCTTTAGATGGCTGCTAATATACAAACGGTGGAAGTTAGGTAAGCGCACTTAGTCTAAGGTTAGTCACTGAATCATCCATGGATACATGTAGTGAATATGCAATAAAGGAACCAGTTGATGAATAAACGCAAGAGACTGGGTATAGTCAAGTTGAAGGCCGCTTGAAAATGGGCCGTACATGAAGGTGCAACCTATGTCTTGACGACACAAGCATTTAATGACAAGAGATTATCTCAAACTTGATAAAGTTGGCCAGAGAAACACAGACGTGGGCGAAGGACACCACTACTCATTCGCTGCACAGCATCCATCGGCAGCAGTTTCATCACCCTCACCATTACCGTTACCCTCAACCTCATCGAAGAACCCGATAACCTCACTGAGCTCGCTGGAAGGACCATCACTGTGATATTCCTCACTGGCAGTGCGTCTCAAATCCGCCAAAAGTTCCCTCTGCTGCCGTAACATATTGTTGGCCAAATAAACGATCCTGTCGGTCTGCTCAACGCAATACCGAATCTCCTCAGTTTGAGTCTGGGTGCGCACGCCTAGCATGGAATCCTAAATCTCAATTAGCATATCAGTATCTAAAGGAAAAGACTTTGAGTACTGACAATGTGGTCGATCCAAACTTGCCCAAGAAGATGGTGCGGAGTCTCTGGCAGGTAGGGTGAGCGGCGATGCACGATATGGGAGAGAATGCTTTCGCGTCGAAGATAGGCAAGCGCAGCGCTGGTTGCTGGTCGGTGGCCCGACGCGGAGGCGTGGGGACGGGCAGGTTGAATGGGCTCGCCAGTGTTGCCGCCAATGTTGTCGCCTATATTCTCCACAGTCTCAACAGTGTTTTGTTCGGTCTCCCTAGTGGGCGGCCCGGCAGTGGGTGCGGTGGCGGGATTGGCGGCAGCCACAGCGATCGCAGCGAGGGTGTCCAGCGGAGTAAAGGGAGAGCTGTTATCCTCAGTTTCTTTGTTACCATTTGGGCCATTGCCGTCAGGCTCAGACTTAGCACGATTAGCAGCCATGATGATGGGCAGCGACTTGAGCAAATTGCGGGTTCAAAAATGAGCGACGAGGAAGAAGGGCGACGAGAAATAAGAAAGTGGGTAACAAAAGAACGACGTGAAAAGACAGGGACTCGATTAAATGAGGCAAGCGCCATGGGACAACGAGACCGCGGGGACGCATTTTCATCGCATCATACCTTTTCCCCGGTATTTACAGAGCTAAAATGTGTTCCCATCTCTATCTCAAGACGATGTTTCCCTCTCTTGTTTCTATACTCCTGATTGGCTGGGTCATATATGCGCTAATCCTGGAACAACTAGCGTACCCATATGCACGCTAACCCCATCCAGGAAGTTGACATCCTGCATTGATTTCGACATCATATCTGCCCACCCACGCTTGGCTGACGTCCCTTCTTTCGAACATTCACCTTTCCTGTTTATATTTTTGTATTTTTACTATAAAACATAAAATGATCACGAACCGCCCCGCTACCTTGGCCGATATTCCCCAAGTTCGGGATATCAACCACTGGTACATTGTTAACAGCTGTTCCACTTTTGCAACTACCCCACCACCGATATCCCACTATGAAGACATCCTTCGGGATCTGATGAGAAGAAACCTCCCCTTTTATGTCATCGTGTCTGACACGCGGAAGACACCAGACGGAGCAGATTTAATTCTTGGTTACGCTTACTTGTCTCCTTTCCGTGGTCACTTGCTGTCCTATGCAGCGACTGTCGAGCTGTCAATCTTCATGCGCTATGACCAGCAGCAATTTGGCTATGGAACCATTATTCTTAGAAAGCTCTTGCGCCTGGTGCAGGAGGGTGAAGTTGAGCACCGCTGCGAGGAAAGAGTGGGCGATATTCCACGGATTGGTTTTGGTAGCTCCATGGGTGTCATGAAGACTTCTCTCGTTCAGAACGTCATTGCGATCATACCTTATGACACTGAGGCTCCAACCGACGGGGAGAGATTGAGGAAATGGTATATGAAATGGGGATTTGTCGAGAAAGGGCAATTGGAGAACGTTGGGCGAAAGATGGGTCATTGGTGAGTCGCTTATTATGTACTTGGACTGATAGAAGTGTATAGCTGATAGCCTTTTCTAGGATTGATACTGTATATCTTCAATGGACAATGCCAGAGCAAACGGATGGTCATTGTTGGAGTCAGTGAGCATTATCTGAGTCGGTGGAAAATAAAGCACCTTGTACAGAGATGAGAACGAATATGTATATTTAAGTGCTAGGCTAGTCAACTTTCTCAGACATTGCAAATGAATGGAACATGGTTGGCGTAGCTTCCCCATATCACGTCCAGATCACCATGCGGAATGGAATCGACGTTGTAAGACAATTACAAAGACAGGGACTATGCCCAGATGAAAAGAACTGGAGTTAAAACAGCAAGTAGGTATGGAATTAAATCAATGTAGGTGTGGATGAGAGTTAGAAGAACACAAGTAGAGCCGGTATTCCCGCCGGGCTAGGGACGAAGGATACTCCGGGTATCAAGTGAGCTCCTCAATTCTTGACGGTCCATGATTTGCTAGGATTCTCAGGAGGCGCTTTCCATCATATTCTTACAAGATCCACCCTATAGGCTTGGTTTAACTTGGTTAACTTATCAACCCATTCCTGGAGGTGGAGGTATCCATTCCATGTGCTGTGGTAAAGAATATATGGCCCTCTCAGGTGGGATTCTGCTAGGCAAGAGGGAAAACAATACAAAAGAACTCAGGCAGGCAAATTTCGAAGAATTCCATCTTCCTTCTGCGCAAGGTACAGATGGGTATTGCCAGGAGCGGGTTGCAAAGAATAAAAGATCGCGCATGACTTCCCCTGAGAGGCGTGCTTCTCCCGGAGAATCTTGAGTGGAATACCATGTACATTTCCACTTTATCCTCAACTTCTCCTGGTGGTGGCAGCTGGAATCGTGTATCTAGAAGCCTTTTCGACCCAATGTAAAGGGTGTCATTCATTGCGTCCCTTAGGACCACACCAAGTGGTGCTTCATCAGCTTGTGTGGAGGTATTAACGTAGGTCTGGGGGAATGTCTGTGTTACTGCCGCCGTATCCTCTATAATGGAATCTGGTCTTAGCGAGTGTTGAGGAGCCCGTCAAGGATAGTTCAACTTGCCGTAGTAAGTGAAGCAACGGATACGTTTCGGCACAGTTGCCGAATGGTGTTGCTCTTATTGGCTCCCCCTCGCGGATTGGTATCCCCTTGAACGACCAAATTCTTAGAGAGGGCCTCTCTAGCGAGTAGTTTGTACCGCGCTTTCTTTATCACTAGCACCCAAGTTCCGGTCGAGTCAGATCTGATATTGTATCCCGTAAAGGACGTTCCAAGGAAAAACCGTCTTTTGATAGTATCGAAATAGACCCAACATCCTAGAAGTTTAAGTAAGAAGAGAATAAATCCAATACCGAAAGATTGAGAAGAGGGTGGGAAATCATACCCATCCCCAGCTTAGAAGGAGGATCGATTGCCGTTGTAGAGGGTATCAATCATGCTATGCACAGTAACATCGAATTCATTATATGTTCCAGCTGTAGCACGAGTGTTCTGGTATCGTATCCAAGCGCAATAAGGGCGAGGATCTCACGAGTTCGTAGGTAATTGAGAATTTATAAGGCAGTGTCCCCAACCTGGTAGTTGATGTAGAGTAGTAACACAAGTCCGACATTTCGCCCTCGCTCGCGAAGCATCAACTTGGTAGCAGCGTAACAGCTGATACCAACCATTAATTGCTCGCAGATAAGAACCTGGACGCGCCAGGAGGCAACATGGACACTGATCGAGTGGAACTGGACGGCCCAAAAATCTCCTGGTATGGATTGGCAGGTCTTTTACCTCCTATCCGCCCGCTCCTTCTACTTAAGCTCCTTCCGTGCGGCCACCATCTGGTTCTGGGTGGTGGCGTCGCATGCACCAGAGCTCGATGGGCTCATCGGACTTGATGTGGTCTCAGTCGGGCAACTGCAAGTTGATGATGGCCTGGTAAGTTTCGTCAGCCAGCTCAAGGCGAGGGCGGATATATCTCAGGATGGTCCTCTTCGATATTAAGTATCGGCCACTTAGTGACGAGCTTTGACCATTTCAACCAGTTCGCGTAGTACATGTTGTCTGAGATGATAGAAGGTGAATGGCTAATGACAGCGAAGAGGTTAAGGTTTTTAACGGCGAGCTGGATATCAGGTTTCTAGTATTTGAGGTCCCGGTTCTGGGACAACTTCTTGACATTTGTGATAGTGATTTCTTTGAATGGTGGAAGGTCGTCTGCTTGGGTTCGCCTTGGAGGGGAAAGTTCCAACCGTCGACTCGAATGCCCGCGTCACGGACGTTGTTGACTCCACTTTTGCTCTTTAAATGAGCGGCTCAAATCCCTTTCAGGCAGCGCATTGGATTAATCCTGAGTCATTGTCCCAATCCGGTGATGGCTAGAGTTGAAGATATGATAGAAGAGAAATATGGTGTAGTTTGGATATGTAAAAGTATAGTTGAGCGGATGAAAGGAAAGATACAGAAGATGAGATAAATTATTTGAGGGAAATCGTGGTTGCGAGAGACGCGATGGATTAAAGGATGATCTCGGGAAGCGACACCCAACCCGTGGACTCGACACTCGCTTACTACATCTAAACTTCACTCATCGGACTTCCCATCTGCGATAACTACTGTCTCACTGGTTCCTTCTTCCCTGGCTCGCTGTACAGTATCAGAATACCTCTTTCCCGCAATGAGCCACCAAGCAAGCTCAATGCTCAAGAATCCGCCTACAACAACGCAGGTATAGTTCATGTTTGATACTGTGTGATGGTTAGCACATAGGTCGGCAAAATACCAGGGACTTATAAAATATCGCAGCACATACCAGTTACAGGCATCTGATACGGGAACGAGAAAAATATAATGGCGAACACCAGCCACGCCACGGCGATGATGTTCACGGTCATTCCAAACTTCTGGCCCATGAAGAATGGACCACGGTGCATGGTTCGACGGAATAAGAGGACATTCGTCAGAATGGGCACAAGGTAGGCAAAGTTGTTGATTGTCCTATATCTACGTCAGTATTAAGCCCTTATTAACTGCTTTGTAGTATGTGGAGAACCTACACGGCAGAGCTCATCATTGCATTGAACGCCGTGCTTGACCCCAAGTATATGCATCCGAGAAGGCCCACAATCACAGCAACACAGAGCTGGGCATTGAACGGAGAGCCCAGCTTAGGGTTGACACGGGCCCATATTTTCGACAAAGGCAGGCCTTCGTCACGGGCAAACGCCCAGAAGACTCGCCCAGTACCTATAGAAGTTAGAAGGGCTTTCTCTTTGAGGCACAACGAGCACTACTCACTCAACTGCGAACCAATGACGCAGGGTCCAAGAGCAATCCACACCATGAACACCAGCCCGAATGCTCCACCTCTCGTAGAGGTTGCCTGCCAAAAGAGCTCGGCAAGAGGAAGTCCAGTATGTGTGTCAGCCAAGCTGCCATAATCTTGAACTGAAAACATCAGGCTGAGCAGATATGATATTCCGGTCACGAACGCAATTGATAGGGTGATCGCTATTGATGCATACAGTTAGCCGGATTATCCGGGCAGGCAACCATACCACCGAACTAACCTAGACCCAAAGGGGCATTCCTTCCGGGCTATAAGACATTGGTTAGTACAGTACACATGATTGTGTCCACGATGTACCTCAACCTACATTGGGCATTTCTTCTGTGATGTGCTAAGGTACAGTCAGCGACTGCACTCACCCGGGCACTTTGACAATAGGTACGTCTTACCGAAATTCCATCCAAACCTCCAAGTGAGTACATTGGATTGACTAGTCCAGTGATAAAGCAGATAACATTGTTGTCCCAGCCGGTGTTGTTGATCCAGGTGCGAAACACAAATTTGCTGTCATTATGAACTGGCGCTTTGGCAGCCACGACAACCATGGTAATAAACCAGGCCAATTGCAGGTAGACCACTGGGACTCATCAATTTCCGAACCACACAGGAACAAGAGCCAACCTACACGAAAACTTGTTGATCATCGGAATAAACCGATTCCCGAACATGACCACGCCCGCAGTCAGGATATTGAGGATCTGATATGCGACAAAGGTCATCCATGGCTGGACCACCAGGCCATCATGGTAAAGAGCAATCAGCGCCATGGCCGCTGTGGCATAAATCAAATTGGTCGATGCAGTTGTAAAGATCCCTAGGCTTCATCAGCTCCATGGCAAGACATTTGATGATCGGGGCCACTCACATCCGAATACAGTGCACCATCCAGTGGCAAAGCTGAGCAAGCTGTTGTATCGTTTGGGAGCAATGGCGGCAATCCAATGGTACATTCCTCCTTCCGTGGGGTACGCTGATACAAATTCTGCCAGAGAAGCGCCGACGAAAGATTGAAGGATAAAAACGAGGACGAAGCCATATATCACTAGAGCCCGGTTATTTACCGACTTCCTTGCAACGGGTACGCAATGAAGACTCACGGGCGCCAGGTCCACCTGCATTAATTGCAGTTATTAAACCCAAGCCGAGGCCCGCAAATATGTTAGTCGAGTGCTAAGCAATTGGATGATCTCAGCTAACCTGTCCATGAAATAGTACAATTCGCCGCCAGTCCAATCAGACTCCAAAGCGAGAAATGTCGTTCTAACTCCTGTTTATGCCCTGCGTAGCGGTCAATATCATACCTGCCAATCGCACAGAATGGGAAATCTACCCATCTGGGCCAACCGCAGCTCGTCCTCATTCTGCACCTTGATGACCTCGGCCCCTTTCCGATCCCCAAGACTCCCGACCGGCGCAGAGGCCGATATAATTTCCGGGTCGCTCATAATGCGCACAGAATGGTATATTACTGACGCGGTAGGAGGTGAGTGTCGACGAAAAGAAAGAGAAAAGGGGCGCACGTGAACAATAAATCTGCGCGGCGACTTAATTAAGTACGATCATGTCACCTCCGCATGTTGACCCTCCAGCTCTTATCGCAGCCGGGGAAGCCTGAAGGAATCACCGGGTTCACCGACAAGATAGCCGGGAAGGCGACGTATCAGCGAGCCGAATCCGCCAAGGCGCGTTGTGCCCCACCGGCGATCGCGAGGTTCGCCGGTGCGAAACGTGGGGATGGCGAGAATCGGCTCTCATGTTTGCTTTATGCATAGGCGGTTGCAACCCCATTTATGCTTGGCAAAGTATAAGCTTGCACTAAGGGCTTGATGTGACATGCTTGTGTTAAATGGATGGTCTTACACTAGAATTCGAAAACAGATTACCCCTTGGACACTCACGCTTCGTCTCTTCGGCCGTAGCCGAAACCACGGTCATCTGTTCTATCCAAAGTAGTGCGTATACGGTATAGTCGTTTTCAAATATTCTTTTTATTCTAGAACGACCTCTTGACGTAGAGTATCTCTCACCTACATATGTACGGATTGGAAGACCCAACGCCAAGATCTACTAGACCGCATCAAGAATAGCCTCTCATTCTTTGTTTTGATTATAGCTTGCATTAGGCGTGCTAATTTATAGCTTTTGTCTCGTAATTGTGTACGCAAGCGATCCTGATTGACTATCCTTAATTATTGTCAGCTTCCTTTCCACGAAGATGAAGTACCTAGGTATTGCCATTGACCACCGGTTGCGGCCGATCATTCGTGAAGTACCGTCAATAGATACGAGTGGGACAAACTCTGAACACGTTCACCTTCTTTCTGACCTTGGGTCATCCCTCAAAGTTGATGCCAGTGACTATCCGTTATACGACCTGAGTTTCGCCCTTGAAATGGCGCTACCGGAATCGAAGGGAGACGTATCAATTGCGTTGTTGCAGCCTTATTCCAAGCAGGATAATTCAAAAGGCTTTTTGCCAGGCAGGCGCAACTGCAAGACTCCCGAAGCTGTATCCGACTTGGTAACTGCCGTGAATAATGCCAAAGTAGGCTTTGATGATATCAGCGTATTTGACGCTATACCTCTCCTCGACAAGGCCGCCCGGGGCCCAGGTATCTGAACTATCAATGCGGATGCGCACAATGTAATATTTGAGGATATGGATAGAGCCAAAAATCCAGAAATCGTTATAAGCTGCTCCAAGACAGAGTCCCACAACACCCTTGTTCAACAGCCCCGCGGTCGCGGAGTGGGTATGAGCTTTAACGATGACAAATCGGTGCCAAAACCAATTGAGGCAGGACCGTCCTTTATGCGCGTATGCGCGTTAATGTATTTCATCCGCTACGCGATTAATCACTATCCGATATTCTGCTCTCTTAGGCGGCTACTCACTCTGGAATTTACGAAGGCTTTTGCTCTCTTAAGGTATAAATGGACCGAAGAGCCGTGGATGTAGTCGTTGAGAACTGAATGCCGTCACACGATAAGAAAAACTGCCGATGGTAAGTCGCTTGGTCTGCTTGTGTTTAGACCGTGATTAATCCTAGCTAAATCTTGGCATACAGCCAAAGACGATCAAAGTGATTGGAGTGAACAATATCTCAAAGGACGCTGGGACAGTCTTCTTGCGTCCTTGGAAACAGTCTTCGAGAAATGTCTCTTTCGCGGCATTGGTGCTATCGGGTCCGAGGAAAACTATATTAATCTTGCGAATTCTGGCATTACTTGGCTATGTTGCGATATTGCCTGGATTTTAGAGGAACTGGGACCAGGTGGTTACGAGCGCTTGAAGTTACCGCGGCGAATTTTGCGTGTTTTCAAAGCCTGGTGCCAAAAAGCCTGGCTAAAGGCTAAATTTTAACACAATTTGAGCGGCTCTAGTGATATTATAGCCATCTAGAGATTTTGCTTATAATATGAACTCAACCAAATCTAGTATTAAAGCGACTCGAGAACAAATTTTACAGCCTACTTCGCGATCTAAATCTCTCTTATAAGTGGTCTAGGAGTGAGATTTTGGCGGACATATATGAGACTTTCCCCAACTAAATTGCGTAAGGAGGTGCGTTTCGGAGGTCTGTAGCTGCCTTTAAAAATTCACTGGAAGGGTTTCTAGACTATAAGTTGTCCTAGAAAAAGCCTGGATTTCGTTATCAATTTGGCTCTTTATCACTTAATTAAAACATGTATAATATTTTGATTACTTATTTAAATATTGACTGAATGGCTGCCACTACGCATCGTCTTATCTATTTCGCACTAAAGAGCCGAATTGAACTTATTTAGCTCACGGCTTAGGATAAGAGTGCCGCTGGCTGATCTTCGTGGAGACAGTAACTCTATGTCGAGCTGTATTCGTGTTTCGAGATTTTGCCCGGACCCAGAAGAAGCCCCAAGTAGAAGGTCGCAGAGATATATTGCAGAGATATATTCGACGGCTAATGTAGCTTGCGGACCACATAAAACACGAACAGCTGTAAGGTCGCGTGGGTCCCACGTGCAGGACCGGACAGTCCGCGAGGACTAAGGCGCAGTTTTCGGATCAACGAAGTCATTATCTGAAGATAACATCTGGAGTACGTCATGTAGGCATTTGCTCCTGAGTATCTACCTGCACACCCGTGGACATATGGTGCATCCGTGGTACAGATAGGATTTACTACTCCGGGGCTGACGAAGGGACGCCTTAACCATTTTCAAATGTGAACTAAGATATAGCCTGGATGGAAAAATAAGCAGTTGTCGTCAGATTGTTAAGTTCAGAAGATCTAGCCAACTGTAAGATCAGAGTTCCTCCGTTAGACTATTAGCCCATGGAAATTCGCCCCTGAAAAATACCATCGACGATACCATCGAACTTATTGTAAGACATACTGCCGGATGTGGGCATCACGTTCCCTAGTCTAGTAGTTGATGAAGTGGCATAGCTCCTGCATCTCTTCCTTGAACTCGTGAAGCAGCCTTCTGAAGAACCGTGGTCTTCAGCTATGCTTTGGATAACTCTTACTCCGGTTGGCGAAAAGAAATCTTCGGACTATTGCCTGGCTGCCATTTTACTTTTCAAATGACAGCTCTTGTAGGTGCCTTGGAGAGTTGTTGTAATCACTGAATGAAACATTTCGATAGCTGTTGGTCTTCCTCAAAATCCTCGTTGTACCGAGGGGTGCTCGGCGAACTCCCATTCGAGCCACTCGTTGAAGGACGCCCGCGTTGGCATGTTCTCGGTTCTAAGTAGGTCGTTGTGCTTCTCGCGCTATTCCAATCGCCCCCGTGCGGTCTTCACGAGTTTGCCTAAAGCGTGTGGTATTTTAGCTTCGTCAGGGGACTCGTGAAGACCGCACGGCAGCGATTGGAATAGCGCGAGAAGCACCACGACCTACTTAGAACCGAGAACTCAAAGAGTGGCATATCCTTGCGCGGATCCATAGTTTCTGCACTTCACGTGAAACAGAGAAATTAGGTAATCATTATTCTCGATTTTGACGTTCCCACTCTGTCTTTCCTTCACTTGGTACGACCTCTGGGTGCAGGATCCCTGACCAGGGCAGTTCAAGATCTGGCCCGTATCCCATTGGAGGTGCATCCATTGATATGGATACACTTCAGCACGTTCTGCGGACGACTTGTGGAACGAATATGTTCCCACAATAAACCGGCATGGTGTTATGGGAACCATTTCCCTGAAATCTTCCGTTCTTCTTCAAACAGTTCGCATTTTACGTTCAACTACTGCAGATAACTTGAGAGAAACCGCAGAGTCTTTTCTTGATGGTGACACCAGAAACCTCGCCCTTGACCACGGACCGGAAGTTCTCGCCTAGGCCTGTAGGAAGGTGGGAAGTAGTGTTGTCTTCGACGTTGGCAAACGGGAGAAACCGGTGCCTGCAAGAACCAGCAAGTTAGAATTGATCAACTTGGTCAAGGGGAAAGGAGCCTCACTCGACAGTGGGAACTGTACATTGAGGTTTCCATTTGCAGAAGAAGGTAACTGACGGATTTTGTCTATGACCTGGCAATATATAGCAAACAGCCAAATGACAATGCAATAATGTGAGCGTATTTAGAGCACAATCTCTGAGTACGGAAACGTCAAAGACATTGCTTTACAATACATATAGCCGTTAATTCTTTTTATGCCTTCCTCCCCTTCTCCATCGCAGTGCATCTTCCAGAAAGGAAAGCAACAAAAGAGATGTGCATGACGGTCCGGTGGAACGGTCGTTGCATAGGAAACTATATTTCCCTGTGATTTCTGGTTCTGCCTCCTCAGAGAAGAAAACCAATCCACAAGTGCTGATTGGCGAGATCTGGAGTTGAAACGAAAGCCCCATAATTCTTCGACCCACCTGCAAGCCAAAAAAAAGTGACAAATGGACCGTCAATGGATACTCCGTACTATGTGCAGATCTCCTTCAGAATTCAATTCAAGTCTCAAATCCAGGGGCTGATATGATACATGTTGGGCCATTTAACTTTGTGATCTGGAGATCGACCAATAAGATCGAGTCTGGAAATTGTAAAGTTGCCGATCCTTTCCCGATTTCTTTTGCATCCAGACAGTTGACGCTTAAAAGATGGAGATTCATTCGCTCCCGTTTCACCAGAACCATGGGCCAGCGTCCCAAAAAAAAAGCCCGCCCGACCTCGTGGGCTCGCGATCTAATGATGAACGATCTCACTGTCTTTTATAAAGACCCGATCTCGATTTCGATCCCTTGAAATAGTCACTCCAGGCCATGGAACCACCATCAATCCCAGATAATCGTCCTCACAAGAGACATCCCGCCATGTCTTCTACGCCCATGATTGTTGACCCGGATGACTTTGTCGCTCATTTCAAAGCCTCGGCCCATAATTACTCACGCTCACATTCCCCAGGGCAAGCATATGAGCCGCTAGCGTTTGGCCAACCGGCTATTGGAAGACCACCTATGAGACCGCAAGAGCGATCAATGCCTAGATTCAACACCAATGGTGTCTTTAATGGCATTTATAATAGCGAGAACTTTGGTAGCAAACTCTCCATCGACCAAGAGTCAGTCACAGACTCAGTTGCTACCCTCGATCTGGGCTACCACACTGTCGGCCAGCCATTACCACGACACAGAAGGCACTCCTCAACCTCAACAGGCCATCAGACCTCTGATCAGAGATCTCTCAGCACCATCTCTCTGGATCAACAGTCCGTTGGAAACCAATCGCTAGGCCACTATTCTAAAGATGGACCACCGGGCGGCTATCTCTCGTAAGACTGAAGAGTCCCGATCGCCAAATTCCTCGCTAATTATGCAGGTCACCTACTTCACCCACTCGCGAGCTCCACTGGTCTGCATCCAACAGGTCGCTACAAAGCAACTTCATTACCAACAACCTGCCGGTTCTTCAGCAAACAAATACTAACGAGGGCTCCGAGCACTTCAACCCTATTATTGAAGAACATGAGGAAGCATCTTTTGATCTGGTCCCTCCATACGAGGGCGATGCAACCCCACTGCATACTCTGGAACGACAAGCGGACCTCATGTTCTGCTCGGACCATATGCTAGCGATTCTGAGAAATCCGCGCTACTTTGCGCGCTTCCGCGAGTTCATCGCCCAGGAACGTCCGGGGTCACTCTCGACACTAACATATTATCTGAATGCTTCCAAGGCTCTCAAAGCAATTCAATATGCTAACGCGCTCGTGCGTTCGTCTGTTGATGTCCCCACATCCGGTATTGAAACTGCAGAGCACCCCGTTGGCCCGACTGTAAATTTCGCCCTTGAACAGCGCGTGCAGGCAGGGCTGGACGCTTTGACTGCTGAGGAATTACCTGCTTTCATTACTTCTACGTATATCGAAATTACTGCCAAGTTAGTTGAGGAGCGTGTGCGCGAAACCTTACCCGATAAGTTCCAGGGAACGGCAGATGCACTGGCTGAGGTATTCTGTCTGACCGATCCATCGCGGCCAGATAATCCTATTATCTTTGCTTCTGAGGGTATGTTTCCGTTACTTCCAACTGTTGATCCAAGCTTGGCTAATGCGCCATTAGGATTCCACAGCAGCACACAATACGGCATGGACTACGTCCTAGGACGAAACTGTCGATTCTTGCAAGGACCAAAGACGAATCCTGATAGTGTTCGACGGATCCGAGAAGCGGTCAAAGCCGGGCGACATCAGTCCGAGCTATTCCTGAACTAGTAAGTGCCTTCAACATGGATGCCACTGTGCAAGACTAATCCGGAAAATCAGCCGCCGCGATGGTTCACTATTCATGAACCTCCTCCAAATAGCTCCGCTGTGCGACAACCGCGGCACCCTACGCTATTTCATTGGCGCTCAGATCGATGTCTCCCGACTGGTAATGGAAGGTGCACGAATGGAATCACTCCAAAACATCCAAGCACAGAAACCAAAAAACACAGAAACAGGGCAAGCAATCAAAGAATCAAAGAGCGAGTTCCAGGAACTTAGCGAATTCCTCAGCCCCAGCGAGCTGCGGAACGTGCGCGAGCACGGCGGAAACCTTTTCGAGCCGATTGCCAGCGAATATCCCAACCACCGTCTATTTCTCCAAGACTCTGACACGGAAAGCGAGATCGACACCCCATCACAAGGCCCCCAGAACCCCACACCAGGCCCGGCTTTCAGTCTATCCTTGAGCAGTGTCTACAAAAAGGTATGTCTTCCATTCTCCCAATTACCGGATATGTATCAGCAGGCTGACGGAAATCCCACCAGTACCTCCTCGTCCGCCCCTACCCCTCCCTCCGCATCCTCTTCACCTCCCCCTCCCTCCAAATCCCAGGCATGCTCCAATCCTCATTCCTAAACCGCATCGGCGAGACAGGCGCAAAACGAGATAATATTGTCAACGCCATGATGGCCGGGCGAAGCTTCACAGCCCGTATCAAGTGGATGACCAAGTTTAACAATCGGGGCCGTCATCGCTGGATTAATTGTACGCCTTTGCTCGCGAATAATGGTCAGATCGGTGTGTGGATGGTTATCGTCGTTGATGATGATGATGATGAACATTCGGTTAGATGGCAGGGTAAGTGGCCGACTACTTATTAGATGGCCTGTCCTGTTAAGCTTTTGTATATGTATACCATATTGTGATCTGCATAGCCTGCATCTCATGCAGAATAAGTCCATCTGCTGTTGTAGCACGCTAGACTTTATATGGATTAGTGCGTAGCTTAAACGCCCTGGTTGTTTCCCAGTTAAGCGCCTCACGATGCTCTCCCATCGCACGAAAGGTCCAGGTCTCCTCGTACCGCGAATTTTCATTCCCAAGGATATCATCAAAACAAAAACGAAGTTCACAGATGTCGCTGGTCAAACGGTTGTCCCCTGCCGAGCGGGCGCCGAGCGGCACGGACCGCAGCGACAGCCCACTCCTCAAGATACCGGGCAGCCCCTCGGGGCCACAGATGTTAAACTGTGATGAAGTTCCCTCGTGGTATGCCCAGAACCCATACATACGCACAGGTTATAGGCCAGTGACACCGTCGATTCCTCGGTGTCTGAGCAGCCTACGGTACCTTCACAACGAAACTGTGAATGTCTACTCCCACCTCATTCCGGCCACCATAGCTTTTCTGGGCAACGGGCTTCTCTATGGTTATTTCAAGACATCTTTTCCGGACGCTACCTGGACCGATCAGCTTGTTTTCCATATCTACTTGACAACTTCAGTTCTTTGCTTTGGTATCTCATCTGCATACCATACCCTTCTTTGTCATTCGGCCCATTTCAGTGATGTATGGGTCGCTTGGATTATGTCGCTATTGTATTCCAGATTCTTGGTTCGCTTATCTCGGGGATATACATTGGATTCTACTGCGAGCCACACCTACAAAAGCTTTATTGGTCAATGGTCCGTTGACAATTTTCTTACCCTTCCATCGCGTCATCGAACTAACGCTATTAGATTGGCGCTCTGGGCTTCTTGACTGGATTTGTGGTGGTGCATCCCCGCCTTCAAAGCCAGAAGTGGAGACTATTGCGATTATCAACGTTCGTGGCGACGGGACTTTCGGCATTTGCTCCTATCATTCACGCCGCCAGTATCTTCCCTTATGATCAGCTTGATCAACAAGCCGGATTGCGACATTAATATCTTGAAGGACTCGTCGTCGTGATCGGAGTCTTATTTTACGCGGTGCGTTATTTTTCTAGAATAAGCTGATGCAGGATCATGCTGATTGGTCGCAGACACATTTCCCCGAGTCGTGGAAACCCGGAAGCTTTGACATTTGGGGGTCATCTCACCAGGTATTCCACATCTCCGTGGTAATTTGTGCGACTGTTCATTTGTATGGGATCTTGCTTGCTTTTCAGTGGAATAATGAAAATCAGCGATGCAAGACTGGTTGAGGAGATGGTATATCTGTTTATCAGGTAGCTTACGGGGTACGCCGGCAACCTTCCAAGGTTGACAGGGGATCCTTGACTTGGCGGCCCATAGCCACCTTCCAAATTCGGAAGGAGATCCACTATGATATACATGATGCATATAATAAGACGCTAACAAAAGTACACTGTTGAGCCGTTGAAATAGGAGTTTTATGTCGGCTGGATACACCCGACATCCGCCCGTTATCATTCCCACTTGCCACGTTCTTCCTCTTCTAGTCCAAAACCCAAAGCTATGGCGGAAAAAATTGTTGTGGTGAGTTACCAAGTATTACAATTGCTAGTATCATACCTAACACTGCCAGGATTCCAATTACTACACTCTAACCCAGGACTGGGAACCCGAAGATTTTCAGTCGTGAGTTGCATGAATCCATGGCGTGTTGCCTTTTAACCGTATCAGGGAAACCACATCTATCACGTCGTCAATCGCGAAGGGCCGGTTGGAAAATGGCAGACGGTAATTGAAACAGTCGAAGCAGTGAAGACATGCGCCCCTGCTAATAACTAGTACGAGCAGATACCAGGCTATGAAGGAAGATGACTATTGGTCGGTCGCGATACTTTTCAATGTGGGAGACTCGAAGCTAATCATGTCTACAGGAGTCCTTCCGATGAGCAGCAATTCGAGGCTTTTGAGATTGGGTAAATTGCCATTCTTTCCTTGCTTTTCCCTCTGGTCCAAGCAAGAGCTTATGGGTGATATTCAGTCATATGATGTTTCTGGTGTTAGACCATGACCGAGAAAAGCCTCTCCACCACGCTCCCATCGGCAAATATCCTCAGGTGAGAGACCTATCTAGACTTTGGATAATTACCCCTTGCTAAGAGTAAACTCCAGCACATTCTGGACATTGGGACTGGTAAAGGAACATGGGCTATGTAAGTTCTCACCCATTCTCTCCTGTGGAATCTTGCTTACATTAACCCAGTGATATGGCAGATACGTATCCATCAGGTACATAGCCCCAGTTATTTCCCTTCCTCATATTCCATCAGTCTAACACACTCCAGCAACTGTCCGTGGCGTCGACATGTTTCCCCCTCCCGTGACATGGATGCCACCTAACTGCGTCTTCGAAGTGGACGATATCCTCCGTGACTGGACCTGGAGAGAACCATTCGACTTTATCCACATGCGTCTAATGCTAGGATCGTTCACACCTGAGGGATGGGATCAACTATACAAGCAGTGCTACGAGTGAGTCTCCTATCCACACTTCCACCCCACCCACCGAACAATAGTATCTAACCATCACTATCCAGCGCTCTCACCCCAGGCGGCTGGATCGAACAGGTCGAATTAGACGTGCGAGTACACAGCGACGACGGCAGCCTACAAGAAGACAGCACTCTAGCCACATGGGGAGATAACTTTATTGGCTGCTCCGAGCGAGCCGGCCGCTCCCTCCTAACGCAGGAGACGATGCGAGGCGCAATGGAGAAGGCTGGTTTTGTCGATGTGCAAGAAAAGCTATACAAGATTCCTCTGGGGCCGTGGCCAAAAGATAAGGTTCTCAAGGAAGTTGGACAGCTTCAATACGCCCACTGGCTTGCGGCGTTGGAGGGCTGGGCTATGTGGTTGCTCACAAAGTTCGGCGCACCCTCTCCTTGGACTAAGGAGGAGGTCCAGGTCTATTTGTCGAACGTTCGGGCTGAGCTGAGAAATCCTCGCACACATGCTTATGAATATTGGTACGTTTCTGATAGGAGTATGGGTACCGTGAGAGGTTATATTTTGCTGATCGTGTTTAGTCGCCGAGTCTGGGCTAGGAAGCCTACGGAGGAGGAAATGGCCAATGTGGTGATCAAGACTGAGTCTGGGGTTTGAATTAGCCTTGCTGTCTTGAATCGGACAACTCTGTATTTCTGAGTTTATGGGAATGGCCTCTCCGATAGCGAGTTTGATGAAATATTTGCACTGTACCTCTCTGCTTTGAGTGCTGTTAGCCATGTTCGCCACGGCCTATGACGTGATTTTATATGTATATAGTAACGGAATCGGTGACTTGCTTGCGATTGAATCAATTTGTTATTATTCAACACTGGGTGTCTCCTTCACGATCCTCTGAGCGGCTTTCTCAAACTCGGGTTCTACAACCAAGTTATCCAACCCAGATTGTTTGATCTAGAAATGGAATTAGCCGACGCTATAACAAATGAACAGGTCTACTGACCAGCTTTAATCCCTTCTCGGAATTAGTACCCTGCAACCGAACCACAACCGGACATTTGAATCCACCCGTCTCAGCAGCAGCGGAAACAATCGCCTCGGCGATCATATCACATCGCACGATTCCTACCACCAAATCAGCCGTTTCCTCTCCTCTCCGTTTACCTGATACTCACCACCGTAAATATTAATCAAAATCCCCTTAACCCTCTCATCCTTCTTCAAAATCCCAAACGCTTTTGACAAAGCCTGCTTCGTCGTGGTACCCCCAACATCTAAAAAGTTAGCAGATTTCCCCCCATACAAACTAATAAGATCATTAGTCGCCATCGCCAACCCAGCCCCATTAACAATATTCCCAATATTCCCCTCAAGCCGCACATAATTAAGCCCCAATTCCGCCAGCCGACGCTCCTCCTCCTGTTCCGGCGATCGTTCCTCCAACCCAAAAAGCTCCTCCTGTCTATACCGCGCTGTATTGTCAAATCCAAACTTCGCATCCAGACAAACAAACTCCCCCTCCTCCGAGCGCACCAGTGGATTCAACTCAAGCAACGTCGCATCCTTTTCCTTGAACAACTTAAGCATCTGCACCAGGATCTGATGTATATCCTTCATCTCAGAATCTGACAATCCCAGCTCTGCTTGGATATACGCGTCGATCTCGTCGGTTATGCCGGTCGAGAGTCCGAAATAGAGTTTGTGGAGCTTGTCTACGTTCGATTCGATGTTTGTTCCTCCCGACGAGGAGATCAGTAGTACGGGTGCAGTGTGCTGCCTGTCGAATGTCATTGCGAAATAGAATTCCTGTGCGATGGATACGGCTTTGTAGATGTAGAGCTTGTCGACCTTGAGTCCGTCTTGTGGGGTTTGGGCTGTTGTTAGGTAGTAACCGAGCATGTTGGTGGCGTTTCTGAAAGCTTCATTTGGTCTGAGTTTGTTAGATGGGTTCGGTGGTCATGCAATATTGGGGTGTTGGATTGGGGGAACTTACGACTCGACTCGGCGGACGCCGCTTTGGCCGTCGCTGGAGAATCTGCCTTTACCGCGGCCGCCCGCAAGGACTTGGGCTTTTATCACTGATGGTCCATCTGGTGGGATGTCAGTATCTGGTAAAACTGGAATTCGGGGAGGATGATGTGGACCTACTTATCACGGAGACAACTTGCTTGGCTTGCTCTGGGGTTGTAACTAGGAATCCCGGTGGAACTGGTAGTTTGAACTGGGTTGTATGAGCATTGAGGTTGTGTTGCATGAAGGGGTCTCTTACTTCTTGGAGTAGTTTGTGTGAGTGCTGTTCAAGCAGACTCAACTGCCGTACTTGGGCTCTGAAGGGCGCATGGTGCTGTACGATGGTTAATATATCGGGTCAGGTCTCTGCTGGATTGTACAAACACGTTGGAAGGTGCGGGCGATCGAACGCCAGGTAATCATTTTGAATTATGTATTTTTCATGTCAGGATATTGACTGCGGATCTAGTGTGAAGTCGGATTTATGTGGGTATCTGGGCGATGACATCAATCCATGGATATATCTGGGGTTGATTTTCCGGAAGTTTATTCGATATGAGCTCGGCTTGACCTCGTGAAGAGCTATCGAGTTTTCGGTTGAAGTAACACTTGAATGTAAACAGGCTAAAGTCAATATCATATGGCTAAGTCGATCGGTTGAGTTATTGACCGTGCATCAAATTGATACTCTAATTCCGGTTCACATATATATTACCTACCATTTCTCACCACGTTTCTTTATATTTTTATCATGAACCACATTATCAATATGGCATCCTTGCAAAGAATACCTGCTCTCTGACTCCATTCCGAGTTTCCCCGGCTTTCCCAAGCCTCGATACAGGCTCCAAGATAGGCCCAAGTGGCGAAACTGGCAGTAGTGGTCGGAGTCAAGGCCAAGGACGTGTGATAAGCACTAGATAATATTGAGATAAATGCAGTAGCCGGACAAGATATTGAGCGATATTGAGAAATATAAGAATCATCAAAAATGAGCATTCTTATCACAAAATGCAGGGCTTTCACTATGTAAACCGAGAACCATCCAATAGAATTCTCATTAGGAAGGCACTCCTGGATTCTAAGGCCGGGTGTGCCGCGTACCAAAGGTGGCTCTATCATTTCCCATATAACAACGAGGACTTCCAAGAATCCTATGAGATCGGTGTCAGCGTTCTCTGAGATAACGTACACGAGAGCCACACGGGAGCCATTACGGACAGAAGTTGGTGCAAATGTACGTATTATCGCTATACAGTGAGGCACTCCATCGTGTAGCAACTGGTATCCGGTTGGCGCACGTGGTTCCTTAGACTGTCACGGTCCGTCCCGCCAGGGGCCCATTGTTCGACGAGGACGATTTCTCGATTTCCTCTTGACAAAGCCCTCACATGGGATTTCTAGAACGGAACAAGATTATTCAAGCTAACTCCAGGATTGCCTTTTGATTGCAAGGGCCTAGCTGCCGTGACACAGATCACATTGTTGGTGATAACTCCCCGGCGCATCGCTTGTGCTTTTATCGCAAGTTCCGACAAAGTGAGAGTGATATTTATCCAGCTTAGTCTGGAACTCGCTTCGTGATAAATGGGTTCTTTGAGCACAGCCGCCTTGTCACTAAACTTGTGCTCCAGGGCTAACAACCTTGGAAGTCTAGCCTTTCTGGGACATAGCTTCCTTTCCAAGCCACATCATTCTATTTCCAGTCGCCTCAAAGTACTACCTTATCAAAATTACTGGTTTTGGATTGCGGCGTTGTTCGGAGACTTCTGGACTTCTGTGATCTAATGATAGACTGCCCACAAGACGTGACCAGACCAAGTCGCCCTAACCCATAGGGTCCGATGGATAATGCGCGATTGCCACAGAATTTCAAAGAGCCTCAATGTACAAAATTTTCAGAAAGTTCCAGCGAAAGGATCCCGCTGCGGGCCGTGCCATGGTTCTCCTTTTTTATTAAGCGGTATAATACGTCGTGGCGCACCATGGGGATGGATATGCTTCTCACGCGCAGGGTAATGAGAAGCCCTTAGATAGAATGAGTGTTTTCTTTCTTTGATTTTTCTTTGTTAGGTCCACGATTACTCTATCGATCTAAATATAGGCATGGCTGTGTCCATTACCTTCGGATGACTACAGGCTCGAGTACCTGACTATGAATCGAACAGATGTAACCTCGACCTAGCAACAGGCGCACGGCATCTCAGCTGTGAAATTGGTCAAGCCAGTCAGTCCGTAGTCGCTCAACGGGTCATCTGATCGAAGCATTCGCCTCCAAAGAGTCCGACAAAATTACCGACAAGGAACCTTTCGACACTGTTTCACGGGCACTCCGGATGCTTCTTTTGCCTCAGACTGAGAAATTAGCCCCCACTTTGTATGAGCCTCCGCACCTCCGACAAGCCCATCGCCTCCCCTAAACGGGGCGCATCTTGTTATCCACAAAATGAGACGTGCGTTGAATAGCCTCGCGCTAAAGACAATTGCGCAGCAATACTACCCGATAGAACGTCCGATCACCGGAGGATACACTGTATCCGGACTTCGCATGCATCAATGTGCGCCATGGGTCGACGCCCTGGTGTATCTTGTATTATTTACAACGGGCGCCCAGCGGATAACCGGAATGAGCGCTGGGTTCGGGACAGGAAGGACTATACGAGCCCCGAGAACATCACGTCCTGGCTTCTATGTTGTAGACATGCAATCGAAATAGTCCGTACTCCGTATGGCCGGTATGGTTGATAAGGTTAGAGTTAGGATATCGGGAAATTAGATTAGGATGTACGAATGAAATTATCCGAATGGCAACGTGGAATCGGAGAAACCGTGGAAGTGAAAAGTCTGAAAAGTCTCAGGGAAAAAGTTGATGCCTTTCCTAGACTATACCCAAACGGGATTAGTATTGACGTGAGACCAGCCTCCAATAAAACATCTGCCCATCTGCCCAATCCAGAGCTTTGAATAAAATTTCAAGTCAGCGCTAGCGACTGAGGTAGCAAACAAACTAGGAAGTGACATTGACTCATCTCAGAGATCAGGGGTATAAGCAGGTTTGGCTTATCAGAGTGAGGCTTAGATAGTGGGATCGCCCCTGAGTGTACCCAGCCCAGCCCCCCAGTGGACCTGAATTAGCTCATGTAAAGTCTACTGGCAAATGAAAAGGCTTAGAAATCACATCTGATCGCTCGGATCTGACGTTAAATTTGTTTAGAAGGCAAATATAAGAAAATGGGGATTCCCGGTTTGATGTTCCCCCAAAACTTCCTGTACGTAGTCACCAGTCACCATGAGGCAGTCGACGCCCATTCTCTGGGTTGTCCAGGCTTGTCTAATATGGCTGACATTGGTATCTGCTTCACCTCTCATTTCTCATGATGATCTGGTGTCTCCGGACTCCGATGTCTCTGCGCTTCAGTCGCGTGACGCAAAGCCATTTCCGCTTCGAATTCTACCGCTCGGTGCTTCAATTACCATGGGGTATAAATCGGCAGATGGGAATGGATATCGGAAATGGCTTCGACAGCAATTGCGCTATGCTGGGTGGGAGGTTGACATGGTTGGCACCATGAAAAGTGGTACCATGCATGATAATGTGAGTCACTCGGTTCTCCCTCTGTCTCGCTTTCGAAGAATATATTTTGACTCCTCCCAGGACCACGATGGGCACATCGGCTGGAGAATCGATCAAATAGCTTCTCACGCCAAGGAGATCATCCCACAACAACCTAATGTAATTCTTATCAAGTGGGTCTCCAATCGCCAGTGCGAACATGTCTTCACCCCCTAACATATTCCCACAGCGCTGGTACAAATGATGCTATACAGAAGTACAAAGTAGACACCGCAGGCAAGCGGATGGACTCCCTCCTAACATACCTCTTCGACAACATCCCCAACACGACCATCATCCTATCGACCCTCACATTCAACGGAAAGCAACCCCAATTGAGCACAAAGATCAGCACGCAATACCTAGAACTTGCAGCGAAACGCCGAGCACGAAATGAAAGCCTCGTCGTAGCTGATATGAGCACCTTCATTCAGTGGAAGCAACTCGTGGATAAGATTCATCCGACAGCCGCTGGCTACGAGGAAATGGCATCGGTGTGGTGGGCGGCCATTCAACAAGCTGAGAAAGAAGGCTTTCTCAAAGCGCCAAAGAGTACATCTACGAATAATGCTACTATCAGCAAGGCTCGTGAAAAGGACCTCGATGATAGTACGGCTGATCCGAGTCTGCCTGCATACACAGCCCCGCCTCAGCCGACGATAAAAAGTAGTAACGGCTCGCCTCGATCCCGGTCATGGCATCTCTGGCTTGTTGCATTCCAGATGATTATGAGTACGTCCCCTGTTTCTCTCGTGTACCTGATGTCTTCTAACCTTATCTAGTGTGCATTGGTTTCTCTTGTGTATAATAGGACGGGAACCTCGGAAGAAGACATGTTTTATGTCGAACGATAGGAACTAAAGTGAACTAATACCACAACCGTACAGGTAGACGATTAAATGATAAAACGAGTGTAATTTATAAAGAGTAGCAGATGCTTAGCTATTAACCTATTATACGCTTATTTATAAAGTAGTGCTAAGAGGCTAGGCAAGTAATACCTTATGTGGCTACTATAAAGAAAGGAAATATATAAGACGATTTGCGACCGGGCCAGAACTGCGTCAACTTAGCTATATGTATGTCTGTACTAGTAGTACATGTAGATATTATATGGATATATCGACTTGTCTGCGTAAATAATCAAGATTATTGTATTTTTCAAAACAGTTCCAGGGCAAGTCGGCGCCGGCACGTGTATAAAGACCGTCGCGCCCCATTAACTTTCGAAATACCCACCTCAGACTTCCAAACTACCTCGTCGCCTCGTCTTCTGGACATAGCAAATACACTGGAAGAATTCGCTCAATTAGCGCCCCTCTGGGACAAAGCGATCCAATCTCCAGCGGAAATTTCACTCCAGGAGAAACACCGACTGATGCAATGGCCGCCTCGCGCAGAGATGCAGGCTAACGCCCTCAAACTCCTCGGAATTTCGGTTGAGGACTTGATCGAAAAAGCAGCTATGACTCCTCTCTCCCTAACATTCTCGGAGTGTCGTCTTATTCGTGACAATTTCCGCATTTTGCGATTGGATGACCGGGGTAATCGATGGATGTGGCCGATAAAGCGGCCCGACCTGGAAACCAAGAAAACGCAAGCAGAAAATGCAATCTTGACATCCACGGAGCTACAGGCTATTCGGAATGTAAATGAGATCTTCTACGATAAGCAAAATACCGAAATTGAGGCAAGAGAGGCAGAACGACAGAAAAGACCCCCCTGGCATATGCCGCCAGAGTGGGTACAAAAGATTATCGATCAAGGGGATAACAAGTGCTGGGGTTATGTTTTCTACTATCTATAGCCGGATGGGAGGATTTCATGGAGATTTTCAATGGCATCCTCGATATGCCTCTATTTGGTCTTGAGGGACATGAAGAGATCGAAGATTCCAAATATGCTCAATTCGTTCCGTTCGAGACGGAAGAAAGCGAAGTCGGCTATTTACGACAGTGAGTGTTGGTTCCATTCACTAAGGATATTATTAACGCAAGGGCTAGGGATTTTCGAAGTCGGCGTGAGAGGGGCGACCTTAGGCGTGGAATTCTTAAGAACGTGTTCTTCTTATTGACAGACGAGGCTCGGCTGTCATATACCACCTATGGCGACGAGCAGTATGTTGGACATATCTGGGCAATCGATCCTGACTGGTCTTTGTTGGAAGCCGATGAGGATGGCTACGACGGCCGACTCAAAATTAATGCAACCCAAGTCTTCTGGCGGTTCTACGAGTTCATGTCGACAGGAATTTTTCACTAAAGGACATTTGGCGTGATTTCCATTCTGTCAATTCAGAGAAAACATACCCCAGCTGTTTCGCGGAGCCGACTGCCTGGCATTTTACGAACCTTGATAAGCCCAAATGGCCTTGGGTATAACCTAAGGGCTGCAAAATGTGGGTTAATCCTGATGATAACGGCGGTGATCGAGGTGGAGGAGGAATTCATACTCCGTAGTCGTCTCTCTTTTCCAAGTTGAGCCTGCAAGCTGGTTTCCGAACTGGGACACCATGACGTCACCACCTTAGCTTCTTGAAGCTCCAAGACCTGATTATTTCAAGCCACTACACTTTGACACCTCTTGACAACCTCCTATTTACAGATCTCTGAGACCCTTTCTCCTTCCTTTCGTCATCCTAATCCAAAATGTCCGAATCCTTCGCCATCCTCCGCCAACGCCGCTCCGACGAGCTAGCCAAGGTCGCTGACGAGCACATGCAACACGACCTCCAGTCCGGAGACCGCGACAAGCTTAAAGCAGCCGCATCTTCAATTTCCGTCTGGACAACAGTTGGGTCTGCGGTCGGTGTTAGTCTTGGTCTTCTAGCCGCCATCCGACTGCGCAGTACGCGCAAGGCGTTCTTCTCTGCCATTCGCGCACAGGAGAGGCCCACGAAGGTTGTTTTTGAGGATGGGAGGACTGGTATGTTATTTCTTTGCATTGTTGGGGGGTTTTTGAAAAAGAAAGAAAAGAATGGTGTGGTTAATTTGTGTGTTTAGAGTCCATCCCTGACCTCACGCCGCTGTTGAAACCAACTACCTTGGGTGATATCGCGACTTATTTCTTTGCGACGGCTGGTGGATTGTTCTTGGGTGGAGAGCTTGGTAAGATTATAATCGGTGTTGTGATGGTTGGGTGCTGGAGGCATTGTGCTAACCTTTCCGTTGTGTAGGCTTTGCTGGTGGTGTCGCGAAAGGGACGAGGAGTATTTCCGCAGATCCGGAGAGCAAGAAGAGAATCGAAACTGCTTTTAGGAGATTCCGGGCTGATGTGCTGCGGAAGCAGGCTGATGCTTTGGATAAGGGGAACAATGATACCGGTCTGATCTAAGAGAATAAACATAGCCCTATATTGGATCTTGGGTGGAAAACGGACTGCTTGTAAGATGCTGTCAATTAATTCATTTATATATCGCAGTAATGATATATGTACAAGTTTAGACCTCCAAAGCCTTCAAGAATGCTGGGCTCTCATGACCCTGCACAACCTTGGAAATCGGCGTGAGATACGCCTCAGAAGATTCCTGGCTCTCCTGAATCTTCCGAACATAGAATTGGACAACCTTGAGCCACATCGCCTTCTCACTCGCACTAGCTCCGGACCCCTGCCAAACCCAGAGTCTGTTGCCAGCATCGTAAAGGAAAACGTCATTACCATCCAAATCAGACCGATCAAGCCGCTGCCCATCTTTAAGAAGATCAAAAGACAAGCTTCCAGAGGCATCGCTGAGTCTAAAAAGTTTGCGCGAGCGAGCACTATCATCAGTGCCCCTCTTCGCAAACCGCCCAGGCCTAGGCGCCTCCAAGGTAGACGGAGCGACATCCCTCCCACCAAGCAAGTCAACGAAGATCTTAGACCTGGATTCAAGCTGCGACAAAACCTCAACATCAACATGCTTCGCCAGCGTCATATCATTAACCACCTGCGCCGCCTTGGCCTTCTCCATCGGGCTACACTTCTTCCCCTGCCAAACCCAGATCTTATCCCCCTTATCCAAAACAAAGACATCATTCTCATCGAGACTCTGCCACGTAGGCTCGACCTCATGCACGATAAGCGAGTCAACACGCGCAATACCAGGGTGTTTGAAAATACGCAAGAGGGTAAGCACCTCCTCACGCAGCTCGGGCTCAACATGCGTGAAACCAGAGCGCACACCACCAGACCGGACCGTATAGTTTCGGAACAGGGCAAGGAAATCGTCCGAGGGGTGTTGCTGGACCTCGCGGTGTTGTGTTGCCGCGCCGTGCAGGAACTCGTCCAGCTCGACGGTCTTGTAAGCCGCTACGCCGGCTTCGTCTTGGGTTGTTTTGCTGCCGAGCCAGAAGAAGATGTCGTGGGCGAGCTCGTCGCCGACTTTGTAGGTGTGTAGCACGATGAAGCTGTCGCCGTCGTAGAATTGGCCGGTCTTTTCTTTCGGCCAGGGAATTACTTGGAAGTTTTCGATGCGCCAGATCGAGAGGCCAGCTTCTTGGCTGATGTTTTGCCAGGCGGGTTCGGTTAAGGCTGAGTTGTACTTCACGCGGTGGTCGAGGTCGCTGCCGATTAGCTCCACGTTGCTGTCTTTGATGTCGTATTCTTTTGGGTGGACGAGGCCTTCGTGGGGTGCCATGTTTGCGGTTTGGTATGTTCTAATGTGTGTGCTGTAAAGTAGAAGGTGTTGATAAAGCTAACAGGCACAATGTGGCAGTGGGTCCATGTGAGCCGCGGGGCATCCCTTTTGGGAGCGATTGGCCAATGACGTCGGTAATGTTCACGATACTATTTTTAGTCAGTGCGACAGGGCCATGTTCTCTATTATATGAGGCTGAAAGTCGTAGAAGAGATTAGGAGAAATAGTTCGTGCAACTAGCCTTGAAACTCCATGGTGCCATGTCAAAAGGACATATTTTCGTCGTACGGTGGCTTCATCTGAGTTTGATTTGATGTTAGAAAGTACTACAGACTGGATATTAAGAAGAGGTCATAGATCAAACAGCGAATGTTTAGTTGGGTGGACAACAGACGAGGGTGGCAACGATATCAACATGTCATGCCCCGGCGAAATTTTCAGAGCGGAGCAGAAATTTTCTCCGGAAGAGGACACGCAGCAACTGTGTCCCCCAATTTTATTTACTGCTGGGTTGGGGTGACACCACTTGTGATATGCGTACAAGATGCTACGTTACGAATAGTTTAACAAGTGTCTAGCCTCATGACAGCCTTGCATGAAGTTGGGCTTGAGAGGTTTTGAAAATTTACAGAGGCAAAAAAGTCAAAATTGTGTGTAAACCAGTGCACGAATCGATCAGCTCTGAAATGAATTGCAATGTCATTGAGGTATATGAAACACCGAGTGAAAATACTATCTACTTCTGAGTAACTCTAGTAACTGTCCTGTGACTGATCTCTCAGAGACGCACAAAGTACACTTACCAACGCTAAGCTTCAATATATCACGTTTTTCTTGTTCTCGCTCCGCATAACCATCGCGCATTTTTTCATGTCACTGATCACGTTTACCAACGGCCACCACCGGCACCGCCGGCGAAGCCACCGCTGGGGCGGGCATTGGCGAGGTTGACACGGATGCGACGACCATCGAGCCTGGAGAAGGGTCAGCAACTGGGACTGTGTAGGATTCGGTAGGGGTGAAAACGTACTCCTGCTCGTTAAGAGCGGTGATGGCAGCCTCGGCCTCCTCAGCGGAAGAGTAGGTGACGAAACCGAATCCACGGGAGCGACCAGTCTCACGGTCGACCATGACGATCTAGAAGAGAGAAAAGGTTAGTGTCTTTGTTTGAAGCGAAATTGGGAAATTTTGGATTTTTCACGTACAGAGTCGACGATCTGGCCAAACTCACTGAAGGCCTGGCGCAACGACTCGTCGTTGGTGCTCCATGAAAGGTTTCTAATACAATTGTCAGTACAAAGCGTTCAATGTCCATGATAAGGGAGAATTTGACATACCCGACGTAGATCTTAGACATTTTGAAAGAAAGTGGGAGGTGTTGATGAAGAGAATTAAAAGATGCGGGGCATCTGAGATATAGGGCCTTCGTGGCGGTGAGAGGCAAAATTAATTTGCCCCATGAAATTGAGCACGTATTTCAAGGAAGAGCAAACTCCATGATGGACCACGTTCATTCACAGCTTTTCTAGATTATCCCAATTCCAAGAATTCTTTCAAATTATTATTTTTTAACAAAAACCCCCCTATAGAGGTGGCTATAGGGGATTTGGTCTTCTTCGACTCAACGGCAGAATATTCTGTAGTGACAAATGGCCTGACAGTAAATATCTGGAACCTAACAGAACCATGGCCTTGGCTTGCTGTATGGACCAATAAACGTGATCTAGAGGTCTCATCGAGAGGGATCATGCATAAGCAGTAATGGAGCCACAATGCCACTACCTAGGCTAAGGTGGGATATGAAGAGGTACAGGAGTGGCAGAAGTGGATATGGTTAAATCCATCTTGCATACAACTTCCATTTACAGATACACCTGCATGCTTAAAAGTAACCAATTCCAGAGCAATTTTCGAGAGTTATCTATGTGTCAGTTTATCTAACCAGAGCAAAAACAAAAAAGAAACACACCTAGGATCTTATTACAATGAACTTCGGAGTTGGTTGAATCACAACCAAGACTACATACCCTAAGCGACCCAACTAGTATTTTTGGCAGGCACTAAAACCTCTGTCGATACTATCGTGTTTGTGGCAGCCGCAACGATGAATGACAAGACTCAAAGACTGGACACAATGTCTTATTCGGTGGAAAGACATATCCTTTGGCTGTGAGATACTTCAGGATGTTCTCGGTTCAGAGATGTGGCTTAGGAGCTGTGCAAGTACAAATCAAGTGCTTCTTGAGCGGTAGAAATCTCCCCTCTCCAACAACCTAATAGGACTTCCCCCCCAAATATATCAGCGACATCCGGGCAATTGCCATTTTTGTAGGGTGTTTCAATACCATAGTCTATCACATCCTGTCGTTGGAGTCGAGCTTCGATGATATCTGGATCGTCAGATTTTGGCCCGTAAAGTTCGCTATAAGGGGCTTCGCCAGTAACTAGCTCAGAAAGGGTAGATCCTAGGGCAAAGATGTCGGAGGCTTCGGTGTTAAGAAGTGCATAATCTTGCGGTAAGCAGTGTGAAGCTTTCTCATAGCCAAGCGCTATATGACCAGGGCATTGCGAAGAGTTGAAATCGCTAAGTCGTAGATCAAAGTTGTCATCGATGAAGAACTGTCGTAGAGCAAGGTCGAAATGGATAACACCCCGGCTATAGATAAAGACAATAACTTCCAACATCTGCTGGTACCATTTGGATCGAAGCTCGGGGGTAAGTTCCTATCCAAATATTGCACAAGGTCCCCATGAGGACAGTATTCGATCTCGATATAGTCGGATATGCATCTTGATAGCCATTCAGCAATTCGTGGATGATCTCCGAGAATGTCGTAAACCAGAGCCTCGCGTAGTATAGACTCTAGATCTTCTTCACTCTGACTCCGGGGAATTTTCCTGACAATGTGATCGTCCAAAAGGTATAGTTCGGCAAAAATTCCAATTGTCAAGAGCTCCTCATTATCCTTGCGTTCGGAGGCTGGTCGAATAGTGACGGTAGGGGTGGTCGAAGTGGGATGATAGGTGGCTTGTCTTCGGAGGACCAGGTATCGACCTAAAGCGTAAGATTAGGCGGAATCACTGAGGATTATGACTTCGGCTCGCGGATTGTAAGCGCTCTTCATCATCTTGATCTGGTTCATGTCTATGAAGAAGACGTAACAAGTAGACGTCTAAGTGGTCGGAGGAACAGACTGGGAATAATCCAGGTGAAATGCCAAATAGAGAACCATATCAACTGTCGAAACCAATGTGGTATACCTGTCATTGTGTGGAAACGAGGACGAAATTCGTCGGGCAAGAGATGGGGATACTGATGAATTGTGACCTTCACTATTGGTATGCTACGTTTAGTATAGGGGTCGGCCCGCGAGGGCCTAGACTATACTAGGTAGGTAAACATCATGCACCTGAGCACGTCGAGCTTAGTAGGTCCTTGACACGACACATGGCCTGGTCGGTAAAAAGGGTTGCGAATTGCTTGGGACGTTTAGCAGCACGACTTGCATTTGGGCGATGTGGGCCATCCCTTCCTTGAGTAGAGCGGGTATATGGCGGTTTTTTTTAATTTTCCAGCAACTCGAATCCCTTGCCGAAGCCAAGCTCGCCCATCACATCCGGGCATAGTACTTGAACAACCGCGTCGCGTCGAACGGTCTCCCATTCAGATCCACAAGAATGATTATCGTTAGGTACCGTCAGCTCTTGCGGATCATCACGGGAATTCGGGAGTGAGACAGTGTCGTTGGGCCTGCGTCTCTATCACGGCTATGAGGCGAGAAATGCGGAGAATCATTATTCATTCGCTCGAGGTAAACCACCTATTCTTGGGACTGTGAGCTCATGCAGCCCCTCTTCAGAAACGAATCGTCGTAGCAGCTTGGTCAAATAACCATAAGCCTCCTCAGATACCCTGCAGAACCGTCGTTTTCGGGTTTTGATTACCTCGGCTTTTGCTTTTGCGGGCCTTGCAGGCCTCTCGGCCCTGCCGCCCTCTTTTCCGTGGGACTGTGTCCTCCTCCCATTCTCGCTTTTGCGTGTTGGGTTGCATGGGTGCAGTGCCAAACGCGGAGATTGTTGGAGATTTCCATTGGAGATGCGGCGAGCCGATCGTGTGGGGTTAAGGAAGATTCGGGTCAGGACGCGGTACCTAGGTATGTCGACCTGGTATTTTTCTTGAGTAATGGTGCCTAATTGAATGGAGATATGTACCTACATACGCGGTACATACCAAGACATTGGGATTCGAGAACACGTAATACGGTAATATCAGTGGCCCACCACTGCAAAGAAAAAGGAGATTGGTTTTCGGGATACGGTATTGGTTTGCTGACCTCTCTTACTCGAAACGTCTTCTTTCCCTTTTGCCTCCTTTCCAATATGCAATGAGTGGCTAATCTTTATTTGTCTACTTGATCTCATTATCATTTATTTCTATCTTGCGGTACCGCACGTAAAAGGAACATGACGTGCGACCGCATCTGTGTCAAGGCAGGGAGTCTTGGCTCTTCCCCTGTTTTATCCCTCGTCGTTCCTTCAATCTTAACACAAAACTTTGACTCCTCTGGGTCGACTTCTAAGCCTGTGATCTACTCCACAAGACGGTGAGGGGGCGACTGTCTACCCTGTAGTACACGGGGAAGCGTCCGGCAACCCGCAGCGAGTATTAACGGACATTTCCCCAGGCAGTACAGATCTGCATCGAAAGCTTCCAAATTATGTGCCAAGTGTGGCTGTCATCCAAAGCAAGAGGTTTAGGCTATTTCTTTTAGAATAACCGGCCACTTTTTCCACATTCCGTGTGTCACTTGCCAATCAAAGGGGCTTCCCAGTCGTCCGAAGCCACTGGTGGGCTAACCCTATTCACCTGCATGTTTCATTGTGACAATACAACCACTCGTGTGTCGCTATACTTGCGGAGTTCACCTTGTGCTTTCTTGGCTAGGGAAAACCCCCTTCATTCTGGTCACCGGTCTCAAATCTGCTCCTAGGCCAGCACTGGGGACCAGGGGAATTTCAGGCCGTGGGAATTTAAGCCAAATTAACCCATGCGCGGGGGTTTATAAAGGGTCCACCTCCGCCGCCAGACCAGGGAGAAAATTTATTGAGCCACCATCCACGGCAGACGGCATTATGCAGAACCTTCTTCTCTCTGCTCTGGCATTCACTGCCGCGGCCGATGCCTATGGCTCAGGACCTGCCGGCTGGGATGCGGCTTACTCAAAGGCCCAAGCAGCCCTTCTCAGGTTAAATATGACCGAGAAGGTCGGGATTGCCACAGGCGTCGGCTGGGAAGGAGGGCCCTGCGTGGGCAACACCCATGCCGCCAGCTCAATCGATTATCCCTCTTTATGCCTACAGGACTCGCCCTTGGGAATTCGCTATGCCAATCCTGTCACAGCTTTCCCCGCGGGTATCAACGCCGGAGCAACATGGGATCGTAGTCTCATGTACGCGCGCGGTGCTGCAATGGGCGAGGAAGCCAAAGGTCTAGGCGTGCACGTCCAGCTTGGGCCGGCTGCTGGACCTCTAGGAAAGAATCCCGATGGCGGTAGAAACTGGGAAGGGTTTTCGGTCGATCCGTATCTTAGTGGAGTTGGTATGGAAGAGACAATCCAGGGTATGCAGGATTCGGGCGTTCAGGCCTGCGCCAAGGTACGCTGACTTCTACTCTGCTGATGTTTTCGTCCCCTCTGACCATGACCAAGCACTGGCTTGGGAACGAGCAAGAGCACAACCGCGAAACCATGAGCTCTAACATCGGCGACCGCGCCACGCATGAGCTATATTTATGGCCGTTTATGAATGCAGTCAAGGCAAATGTAGCATCTGTCATGTGCTCCTATAACAAATTGAACGGGACATGGGCCTGTGAGAGTGACGCTGTCTTGAACAATCTATTGAAGGACGAGCTAGGTTTCCCTGGCTACGTTATGAGCGACTGGAACGCGCAGCACACTGGCGTCAACAGTGCCTTGGCTGGACTCGACATGACTATGCCCGGCAGCGACTTCAATAAACCGCCTGGCAGCATATTCTGGGGACCAAATCTCGTGCAGGCCGTTGCTAATGGCTCTGTGCCTCAATCTCGTCTGGATGAAATGGCAACCCGTATCTTGGCAGCGTGGTATCTTCTTGGCCAGGACCAAGGCTACCCTGAGGTGACTTTCAGTTCTTGGAATGGCGGCAAAGCTACTGTCGACGTCACAGCAGACCACGCGACTGTCGTCCGCACGGTTGCCCGTGATTCCATTGTCCTACTGAAGAATGAGGAACATGCTCTGCCTCTCCGGAAACCCAAGAGCCTGGCCATCATTGGACAAGATGCTATCGTCAACCCCAATGGTCCCAATGCATGTGTAGACCGCGGCTGCAACACCGGCACGCTGGCTATGGGGTGGGGCAGTGGCACATCAGAGTTCCCTGTAAGCAAGCTGATGCCAGCAGATCCACCGCAGATCCGGTAAACTGACAGTGGCACTCTAGTACCTCGTCGGTCCTCTTGATGCAATTCAAGTCCAAGCCAAAAAGGACGGTACGAAAATCATCGAGAGTACGACTGACAGCACCACGGCTGCTGCGTCCGCTGCTGCAGCGGCGGAGACTGCCGTGGTCTTCATTAACGCAGACGCCGGCGAAGGGTGAGTCTGACTTGCGTCGTCGCACCTATAATGTATTGGCAACCACTAACACCTGCCCAGGTACATTACAGTGGAGGGCAATGTTGGCGACAGAAACAACCTCGATCCGTGGCACAACGGAAACGAGCTCGTCAAGTCCATCGCAGCAGTCAACAAAAATGTCATCGTAGTCGTGCACAGCGTGGGGCCCATTATCCTAGAGACTATCCTAGCGCAGCCCTCCGTGAAGGCAATTGTTTGGGCCGGGCTACCGGGCCAGGAGAGCGGAAATGCCTTGGTTGATGTGCTGTATGGCAGCACCTCCCCGAGCGGCAAGCTTCCCTATACGATTGCCAAGCAGTTTTCAGACTACGGGGCCGGCTGGAACAGTGCGCTAGCCGACAATTTCGTCGAAGATGTGTTCATTGATTACCGCCACTTCGACAAGAACGGCATCGCCCCGCGCTATGAGTTTGGCTATGGCTTGTCGTATGCGACTTTCAACTACAGTGACCTTGCGGTTGGCATTTCTGCCACAGCTGGGCCGTCAAATGGACGCATTGTCCCTGGTGGGGCGGAAGAACTTTTCGAGTCGGTCGGCACTGTCTCTGTCATTGTCCAAAATACTGCTGAGGTAGCTGGTGCTGAGGTTGCTCAGCTTTATCTTGGTCTTCCCGACTCCGCTCCCAGCACGCCACCCAAGCAGCTGCGAGGGTTCCAGAAGTTGAATCTGCAACCGGGAGAGCCCGGGACGGCTATTTTCGAGCTCACTAGGCGTGACTTGAGCTATTGGGATGTGCAGACGCAGAAGTGGGTCGTGCCTAGTGGCACCTTCGCTGTCTATGTTGGAAGCTCCAGTCGGGATATTCGCGAGGATGGAAAGTTTACTGTCACTTAGTAGTATTACCCTTATCAATTGACTTGTACATATCTATTGTTCGGAAACTACTTGTCTCGAAGTGAGATTTTTGGTCTGAGAATATGACATCTAAATTCACGATCAACGTGTCTACAGTTTCTAGACCCAGAATTGCTTCTTTGTTGAAAGAGGTGCGTTTATACACACAAAGACCTTGTACGTAAGACAAAGTGCTGTCGGGTTGCTTTCACTCGAGAAAGAGCTGGGAGCATAACAAAGAACAAGAAGAATGGTCTTTGTAACTGGCTATTTCTTTGATTGTTAATGACCATAGTATTTGCTTGGTTTCAAATTATATGGATAGTAGCCCACAGGCATATATAAACCCCGAGCCCGTCCTTCTCGAAGTAGGACAACATCACCATTGACATTCAAGTTACCTATTCCTCGATCCATCTTCAGCGACTTATATCCACGTCTCCAATTCCCCTCAACAAATTACCAATTTATTTATTTCCCAATAACAATGGCTTGGTGGGACAGTTCTGCATCCGGCTGGGTCCACAATCTCGTGCCAAACTACGCAAAAGAGATCAATAGGTTCCGAATCGAACTCGAGGGCGAGATTGATATTCTAGTTAACCACCCGGGACATCAGCACATAGTGAGCCAGAGAATTGCTATGACTGCTAAATCATTGCGCAAGATTAAAATGATGGCGAATGATATTTCGGTGTATTTCCCGGATAATGCATTCGTCGCTCACAAACGCCCTGGTTTCTTTCAGACTACTTTCCCCCGACTATGCGATTTTATTGAGAACACTATGTTCGAGCTTAGTAGAATTCTGATATTCGAGCCGCAGAGTGAGCGGTCCGTTGCCTGGCAGCTTCAGGATTTGCTCGATTCCCTATAGTTTTACATATTTGTTAGTCGTGTCGTACAATTCAAAAAGGGTTTCTATAGTGGAATTGTTATTGCCTAGCCATTTTGGCCGCTAGCCTATACATAACAGGAAAGATGAATAGATATAATGTACCATTAGAATTAAGGTAGAGTAAAAGTTAGGCCGAGCCGTTAGTAGAGGACTTCACGATCTTTCCGTATGACCCAGCATGGAATATTTTATATCTGCTTGCTATTTAGTCCTTTCCTAGCCTCACATAGATCGTAGTTTACATTGATCTTACCTCGATATTTTTCCCGTCGGCGGAAAGGTCTCAAAAAGATTGCCCGCTTGGAATCAAAATACTACTATTTATCTCCAGGTTTCGTTTCCTGTAATTGCTAAAAGAGATTTGCCGCGCGTCTAAATAATTCGCGTTGTACCTTTTGGGTTGATGTGTGGTCACCTTTGAAGCTTGAAATGAGAGGATGTAACTGTGTGGAAGGAGGCTGGGATGGCTGGGTTATCAACCAGCCCAATACAAATATGCGAGAGCGAAAACCCTCTCAAGATAATTTGGATTTGATTTGAAATAAGTTGGCAAGAATTAGTTGTACCGGGACATATGTATTTAGAATGTGTCTTCACTGGAAACTTATGGGACTACGGCTGCTTTTAGCAATGTCAATGTATGTCTAAACATCCGATAGTCAGCAGGGTATTCGGGATCACAACCAACTCGAAATGCCTCTCATTAAAAGTGGAATGTCGTTAGTGGGATTTACCATAAAAACGAGTTCTTTGACATTCAAGGACCAAGGCCTCCCTGTGTGAGTCCAAGCCCACTCAGAATGATCCTATGCTACTCCGAGACAGTTGAAAAATTCAAATCAGGGCACTGGCAATCGTTCCCTCATCTAGGAATGATTTTGCCTGGCAACAGCCGTTTGCTGTTGCAGCCACGATATCCTGATTCTCTTATGCTTGCGCATGATCCTGGACCCTTTGTGCTACCAGTCAAGCTGATCCTGGATCCCGAGTTCAATAGAGCATATAGCATTAAACCCAAGACTCCTGCAAAGACCTCCACCATAATGGACATACTGGTGATCTTCATCGATCTTACCGACACTCAGACAGTTTTGAAGAGTCTGCAATGCGATTTCGTATGTGTATGTCCCAGTCCCAAAAGCTTGAGCCAAACTCCCTAGCAAACGCCCTGTGCCGTAAGCGTCGTCAGAATCCAGGATTCCCTTGACCAAGGCGTCTCGCGTCGTTCGGAAGTCTGGAAAGCCCAAGTCTATTATGCGTCCAATTCGCCTGCCAAGTAGCGTCCTGACAGAAACAACATGCTCCACGTATTGCTGAGGAATTTCCCATTCAAAAACATATTCATGTTGGAAGATGTCAGCATCTAGATTTATCTGCTGCGCAAGGCTCCCAGCGTGGCGCGGGCCATTATTATCTGCACCATCCGGCACTCTAATAATGACAATCCAGATCCTTCCTGGGTCTTCATCGGAGTCGTAATATTTCGCTAGAGCGCGATGCAGAGCTTCAAGGGGGCGGTCGGTGACGGAAACAAGAGCGGTAGGCTGTTTATTGTTTCGATCCCGATGAATATTGAATTCATGGAGGCGATCCTCCTTGGTCAATGGTAGATGACCATCGTGATACTTTCCAGACCTCAGCTCGCCAGCACTTCGATTGGAGTAGCAGCGATAAAAATATCCGTCTTGAGCGCAGTCCATGCTTAGATGATCGTTTAATTAGGGAGTCGTTGTCGAACATACAGCAGAATAGAAGGGGATAACTTCGACCATGTTCAGGAACATCAAAACAAGTGCCTGGTGATGAGGCAGGTTACCTAATTCCGAGGTCAAGCCAATCACATATCAAGCGGGCCTGACCACTCAGTAGGGCGACCCCAATCAGGTATCCGCCAAGAATCTATGTGTGCCTTACTTTTCCTTTTTCATTACCTTACCAGCTGTCTGCTACTCTCCACACATGCAAACTGTGCCAAATAGGTACTTCAATGACTCTTTGTTTCCGCTTAGTCATAGCACATGTCAAAATATTTGCCTCGCTAACCGAAAGGGCATCATCATTCGGGGCAAGCGATTGATCCTCCACATATACTCTATTCATAATCTTTGGGAGCTGAACATACTGGGACATCTCTACGAATTATTGAGTGCATTTACTAGCTTTTTTGGCCTGCTGGTAAATGTAGGGGGGAACAATATCTGCAACCTTAGAAATCGTGTCCACAGAGTCAGCATGGTGGTCAACTCAAAACAACCTCTAAGGAACAATTCTGATGCCAGTAAGTAGCCTATCGTGAGGTTCAATCATCTGTCACTTGGAAGTTAAATCCAGAGTTTCAGAGATATGTGTTTAAGGCCATGCTGTTTCAATACATGTCATTCAGAATCCTGCGCTGGCCAAATCTGGTCCCACGCTCTCCTAGGAGGGTGGTCAGGGCGGACTTGAGCGATACAAGATTCCCACGGACCATGGCAAGGGCTCGCAGATATTATATATTGGCATGCCATTATCTACGCCATCTTGCGTGCTATGTCACATCAGGCACGACATGATTGGCACTTTTACAGCCCCTTGATTATATGATTCAAGCCTCCTGCTCATCCTCAGTCTAACGTGGCAGCATGCGGAGTCACCAAAATGTACCGAACAAGGGGCTATCTAGTGATCTGCAGCTCGGAGCTTTGTGAGTGATATCATAGGGCATACAATGCACAAGTTTCCGACGTCTCTATCCTCACTTGGGGATGATCATACTCTACATTCCAATCCCTTCGCACGTCCGTTCCTAACCGTCTCTTGTCCTGTCCCAGCTTACAATCCTCCGTTGCAGACCGAGAGAGCTCTCTATTCCCCGTGCAAAGCACGTCAGTTTCGGCCTTTTAAAAACGTTGTTTTCTTTGAGCCTTCAAAGCAGGGGCTCGATATCATACCATACCCCAGCACAACACATTCATCAAAGTCATCTCATCAATTTACATATATGCTAGATCGGAAGCATCAGATTCCCAGCCCGATTGCGAAATCAGCGATGGTTACTCTTAAGCTACTATTTGAGGTAGACACACAAGTGTATAATATCCCGCTGGGCCGTTGAAGTTGCATGCCAGCCTTAATCTTCTACGTACGGAAATTCCTTCCGTCACCTGGCTGATCTTTACCAAGAGTTCTTGCCATCCCTTCGGACGCTCGACCTCCTTGACATGATCAAACAATGTGACCAAAATTTCCTGTGGCTTAATATAGATGGAGTTAAAATGGACACATTCACCGTTAGTATTTGCTTTTGTCTCTAATCTCCGTGTCTACTCAGACCAACAGAATTCAACATCACTAGTATGGAGAGAAGACGTCCTTCTTGCAGCCACTCACTACCTTGCAGTGAAGCACAGATACGCTTGTGTCCCGAGAAATTCGATGAATCATCCACCGACGATGGACAGAAGTTACCACCCGTCGACGGAGGATTCCAGGCATGGATGTTTTTGGCAGCTTGCGTAATGATCGAGGCTTTGATATGGGGTAAGTCAGTTTGGCACGACTCCATGGAGATGGCAAACCCCAGACTAACTATGAGCAGGATTTGCTTTTGCATTTGGAGTCTTCCAGAAATACTACCACGCCCACGAACCCTTCCAGGACTCGAATATGGTAGCTGTTATCGGAACATGTGCTACAGTGAGACCAGCGAGTCCTATCACAGTGGTCTATTGCTAATACCATCCACAGGGAATATCTTATTTGAGCTGTCCGCTAGTCATTGTTGCTATGATCCTCCTTCCTCAATGGGGACGCTGGTTCTCATCTTTAGGACTGCTCATAATGTGTCTTTCCCTGGCATTGGGCTCATTTTCTTCGAATATCACTCACCTCGTTCTCTCCCAAGGAGTCGGCTTCGGAATCGGCGGGTGTATAGCGTACAGCCCATCCATCCTGTATATGGACGAGTGGTTCGTCCACCGACGAGGACTCGCATTCGGCATAACCTGGGCTGGATCAGGGGTATCCGGGATAATATTCCCAATTGGCCTAGAGAAGCTATTGAATAGCTTCGGATTCGAAACTACTCTTAGGGTCATCTCGGTGGTAGTGTTCGTTCTCGCTGCGCCTTTCATATACTTCCACAAACCCCGCCTTCCAGTCAGGAAAACGGTCGACTATCAACGTCTGAACTTCCGCTTCCTTGCAACTAGGATATTTTGCGTCTATCAACTCGGCAACATCATTGAGGCACTGGGGTTTTTCTTGCCCGGCATTTATCTGCCGACCTATGCCCGTAGCATTGGCGCTACCGATTTCCTCTCTTCGTTGACCGTTACACTGTTGAATCTGGCGTCGGTTTTTGGGAGTGTTACTATGGGCCATTTGGCAGATCGATACCATGCCATCACTTGCATTACCATCTCGACTGTCGGTAGTACGCTGTCTGTGTTTTTCCTCTGGGGATTTGCGTCAACTTTGCCCACATTGTTCGTCTTTTCTATCGCGTACGGGCTATTTGCAGGCTGTTACTCGGCGACGTGGTCGGGAATAACTCACGAGGTCCGACGAGTCGATCCGTCCGCGGACGCAACTATCATCTTCTCGGTTATTGCCTTTGGGCGTGGAATTGGAAATGTCGTTAGCGGTCCCTTAAGTGAGGCTATAGTAAGCGTAGACTCGTGGAAGGACTCTGCCATAGCGGGATATGGGAGTGGATATGGGCTTATCATCTTGTGTACGGGGCTGAGCTGCTTGTTGAGTGGAGTATGTATAGTCGCGCATTATATGAAATGTATATAGAGTGTCTTTGCACAGTTATGCTGATGATTAACGGTCTGCTTTTTGGTGTGATAAAGGATACTTAAGACGGCTACATATGCTACTCTCAAATTGATGGGCTCATACTTCCCAGTGTAGCAATTATTTCTATTTCTTTCGAGCCAATCTCGATATTCAACTGTACTTTTGACTTTTGTTTTAGGTCGAATTCGATTGGTACAGCAACTATTAAGAGACTTGCAGGCTTGCTGTAAAAAGAAAATTTCCATATTTGTAAGATCCGGCAGCATCCGAGTCCGCGGAAATATACATACTATCCTACTCGCTACCATCTGTACTTCCACAATTTCCTTCAGAATGTTACAGACTCTGGGTGGTGGTATGTCTAGATTTATGAGGTAAAAGCTAATGATCAATGATCAATTTTCTATGCAACGTTTTAAATTTTCCCATCCACGACTTGATCCAATTCACCGGGCCGACGATCCCGAACCCACGTAATCTTGGACCTTCGAAGCTTAATCTCGACAGATTTTTTATATCAAATGGAGGCTGCAGCTTGGCTCAAGCCTGGTGTGGCCAAGTGGTCGACGTCATTCCAAGAGGGCAGGCCAATGTTGATTCCATGACACCCAACGCTCAACGGTTTATATTGTGGTCCATGACGCCAATGCAGAGGAGACTACCGGTTATTTAAGAAGTCTACTTGGTATAACGTACTCGAAGCCTACCGCATGCGTCGCCGGTATGATGATATTCGAGATGCCTTGAAATATTGCGCTGTTTTATGAGTTTAAAAGGTATTTAACTACCTGTAGTCGTAGCAATTCTTCTGCATCTCAACAAAACCCCTCTCGATTACCCTACACCATACGTCTTTAGGGATCACACCAGATCCCTCCAAGAACTATGCGTTTCAACATCGTCACCCTCCTCCTGGCCGGAGTTACTGCCACCTCCGCCGCCACTACCACCTCCGCAGCAAGCTCAGCCTCAACCTGCTCGCCCTCATCTTCTGATGCCAAGGTCCTCGAATTTGCCCTGGGTGTCTCCAACTTCATCGGCAGCTTCTACAACTCTACCGTGAACAGCACCTTCGGAGAGTCGAACAACGCCACCATCAAAGCATACCAGAAGATCCTCTTCGGCCTCGAAAAGGGCAACACTCTATCCAGCGTAGCCATCGAGAAAGTCGGCGCCAAAGCCTCCGGCTTCTCCAAGCCCAAGTGCGACTACAAGTTCCCCGAGGTCAACAGCACCCAGACCTGGGCACAGTGGGCCTACCGCTTCGAGGATACCGTCACTGGTGCTTTCATCGGTCTTGCTGGCTACACTGAGTCACCTGAGGTCTCCTTCCTCATGGCTCGCTTGGCTGCCGAGCACAGCGCCCACTCTTCCTTGATTGGTAGCCGTGTGAACTCGACCTACTTTGCCCAGAACTCTACTTCTCTTGTTGCGGCTTATGGCCCAGCTCAGATCTTGTCCACTCGCAACCAGACTGGTAGCCTCGGCGAGTATCTTGGTGACTGCCTCACTGCCCCGACTAGCCCTTGTGGCCAGCTGAGAATTGGCCCCTTGGCTGCTACTCCCTCGCCCTCTTCGGGTGCGGCGAGCAGCTCCAGCTTGGCTACTTCTGCTTCCAAGAAGATCTAAGGGGTCGATTTCGAATGAAGAAATATCGGCCTCTTATTTGAGGTAACATTTCAAAATATACCATTGGGTGTTAACTTCAGAGGAGGAACATCGCTGTTAGATATAGCAGGATTGGAATATATATAATTAATGGATTAATTGGGAATATTTCGATGCTACCACACTGTTCTATACATCTAATTCGATCATACATGTATCAATAGAGGCCTTGGAAGGGGTTTGAAATGATGTAAAGCTCATGTATTCTCGAGATAGACAGGCAACCATTCGATGTTGTCGACCATAAAAATAACCAACGGACACAAATGTCACGATATTATGCATGATCGTTCAAATTGATCAAATCTCTAATTTGGTACATTAAAAACCCCGCAATATGCGTCACCCCGAATACGAGGTCAGAAGACCACGTAGCTCCCATGTTTCTAACATATACCATCGTCTTTTGCTCGTTAGATATTGTTAGAAATATCGCCAAGATATCGCAGCCTTTTCGAATTCCTAAAAATCCTTGATTCCATATGCCGAGAGCGAGAAAGGACGTGGTGCGCCCGCTGGACGAGGATGCACTGGAGCGGAAGCGCGTACTCAACGTTCTAGCACAACGAAGATACCGCGAGTCCTCCCTTTCCCCAACGCAAAAAGAACACCTGTTGATACCAAATAACAGGCAAAAGAACCAAAGAGAAAATTCAAGCGCTACAATCTCGAGCCGAAAGGAACGAATCAGCCACAGTCCCTCCGCCCAACCAGGCAGCTTGCGCGTTACACACCGCGCATGAATCGCTAGCCACACATACCGCGTCTCCGAGAGAACCATCCTCAGTATTAATATCTAAATCAACACAGTCACTGCCACATGGCTTATCCTTATTGGCATGGAGCTTCCCATGGTCCCCAACAGGAGAATGGCCCGAAGTGAATACGGAGCCATTGGATTTCAACGAGCACGAAAATTTGGTTGTGGACCAGTTGCCAGATATTTCAGATTTCCCCAGCAATATAACCGCAGAACTGCAAAATTACGACACCTCCACCTTCAGCTTCCCAGATGATCGCATCCTGGAAGTCCCATCCCTAACACTGCTGAACGCGGCCATGAAAATCGCCCAACGATTAAACATCACAGATCTGATCTGGGACATGTCAGCAGTCAGTCCTTTCTACGGACACCAATCATCGCAGACGTCAATGACAAACCCGCCTTCTTTGACTTCCTCACCGACATCACGGTCCTCGTCAAGAACATCTTCATCGTACCATAGGACTGTCTTCGAGCTACCTTCCCATCTCCAGCCAACTCCTACCCAGCGTTTAATCCCACACCATCCTGTTCTGGATATACTGCCTTGGCCAAGTACGCGGGACAAGCTCATTCAAGTGTTCAACCTCCCTGTCAATCTACGTCCGCAAACCGCGCAGGATCCTATGGGCGTTGTGCGGCTTGTATATGATATGGAGGATTCGGGTGGGGAGGGACTGAAGGTGAATGGACAGGATCCATTCAAGCCACAGGAATGGGAGATTGGACAGTTGTTGTTCCAGAGGTGGTGGTGGGCATTTGAGAGTAATGTTGTGGAAAATAGTAATTGTGCTAGGAAGGACAGGGGAAAGGAGATGCTGAGAGTGGAGTGATGACTTTGCATACATGTACAACTGAAGGTTCGGCAACCATGCACACCCATACAAAGGGTACTTCTCTTCTACTTTGTGTGTGATAGACCCATCCCGCGAAGGACGTTTTATAAAAGACGAAGCCGAACAGCGATTTGATCAACAAGATATTTTATATACAGCTAAAAGGAAGAAACCCCGGGATGATATTTACGCAGTCGTGAAAGACCCCTTCTGCTGAAGATTCTTAATCCTCCCAAGCAAGAATTCCAACTGCCTATAACCCGCACCGGGAGTGTACTGCGGGATCTCATGACCAGCAGTATAGACCGAGCTGAACGTAAGACCACGCTCAGTATGCGCCGTTCCAAGGATACCGCCGCCGGAATCGGCATTCCAGGGGATACTCGCGTGTCCATTCGCAAGACCATCGAGAGCAGTCGTATACGGCACAAACAGGGGCTCGTTAGGTGGTTTTTGGAATCCCTGCGCGCCATTCCAAGTCATATTCTGGATCGTAGCAATAGTTCCATTGGCGAAGAGCAGGTAATCGTACCAGCCATGGCCGATGAGGACGTTGTTGGTGCGCTCGATGACGCTGGGGAGTGGACCGAGCGCGCTGGGGACGGAACCATCACCGTTGCTGAAGACGTCGCCGCCGCAGACTTCGTAGTTTGTTGGCGGGATATTGAGGGCGGCTTGGACGGCGGAGCTGTTGAAGTAGTTGTTCGGTCCGCCGGCTAACGAGGGGAAGCCCATTTCGTCCCAGAGGAAGGGGCAGAAGTCTGTCAGGTGGTACATGTTGAAACAGGGGTTGACGTAGGTCGCTGCTTTTACAATTTCGTCCCAGACGGCGCAGCCCGGCTTGTTGATGTCTGGTGCGGTCGGGAAATGCTTTGGTGGGGGGTAGGTCAGGGCTGTGTCTAGGAATTTGGTGTACCCGCATTCGTCGGCGCGGTGGTTAATTTCTGTCATGAAGGTGTCGTTCAGTGCGAAAACAGAGGAGTAGTGGTTCAGCGCTGCCACTGCCGGGGCTATTGGACTCAGTTAGCATGAGGATTTTCATTGGGCAGAGACACAACTGACCGTAGATCATAACATTATCCTCATTAATGGACGGGTCGTTAATCTGGATGCCTTTGAGGTTGAAATGCGTGGTGTCGTTGCGCTTTAACATCCCGTCTGCCAGATACGGAATGTATTGACCAGCATAGCTCTCTCCAGTGATATAGATCTTGTAGCTCTGCATGCTGAAGGTTTCAATGAAGCGCACCCAGAAATCATTGAACTGATTAGAGATATCGATCTCATTCTCAACAGTGGATGGTCCCGGAGAAAAGCCAGTGCTGGCAGGCTGGTCGATGTAGACGAGGTTTGTCAAGTTAGTCCATGAGTAGGGGTTGCGCACAGGTTCGTACACTCCAGATTGCCACAGGAAGGGGCCGTTCTCTTGCAGCAGGCCGTCAAGTGAGCTGCATCCGGGGCCTCCATTAAGCCAGATTGTAATCTTTAGGGAAGATTAGAGGATACCCTGCGGCAGGGCGAGATCAACGTACCTCCTTTTCCGCAGCTGGGTTGGTGGATGGGAAGAACCAGAAGAACAAGCTTGATTCGCCAGGACGCTTACTCGACGGTTCTCCATGAGGTTTGTTCGACAAAAGACCGGCATAGCTTTCGCCGATGTCAAAAGGAACTTGTGGGAAGTGAGTTCCGTTCACTTGGAATTCTAGCAGAAGTGAATTGTAAATAGAAAGTTTCATATCCTAATGAGAAGGCTGAGCACTTACTTTCCGTCTTCTTGTTCAGGTACTTATGCTCAGCCGGAGCAGCGGAAACCTCTCTTTTGCGCAGAACGTTCGCAGGTTGTTTAAAAGATGCAGCCTTGCGATGCGGATTTTGTAACGCCGCGACCGCGGCGAAGAGAATAAAGGGTGCAAAAACCAACATTGTGGGATAATCCTCCGCGATCTTGGAGAACCTGACTCGAGGAAGAGCACGGAGCTCTGCTTTTATAATCCCATTGTCGTTCGGGCGAGGCCTAACCGGAGCGGTTTATGTTCCGCGTGGATATTGATATTAGTGCACTACCAAGCTTTGCCAATAGCGATCCTGGCTAGTTGCAGTGAGACCCACCGCGAGGCAGGCATTGGCTGTTGGCAAGTGGGATCTGCAGCGATTGCAACGTCGTCAGGAACAACCCGCATGACGAGTTGATTGCCCACCCTTTTACTCCGACGGAGTCCGTTATCCAGTACGTGATGCACTCGTAGCGTCGGCCCTATATCCATTTGAAGATGTAGCAGTGTGGTATTGAGCAGGCTGGTCGCGGTGGGGCAAGAACCTGATATCGAGGTATAAGTAGTCTTTTTAGTGAATGCGTTGCATAGCGTCGCACCAGATGCGATGTTAATGCTGCTGCCTATATTCCGTGCATGATCAAAAACCGCAACTCAGATCAAATCCATTTGATACTGGTCCGATAGTCTTTTTATATAACTTTTTAGTGCTCTCTTTTGGTAGTCTCCTCAAGTAGTCCTTTCAGATGTCTGATATTTTCTCCCGCTTCCCAGTTTGTTCGGTACGAAGCAGAAAAGGGCCAAAAACGGCAATACTTGGTGAAATGGACTTTTCAATATAACCTTTCATTTGAGGGTTGGAAGGCTCTTGCTATCTTTTGGTTATAACAAATGAGCACAATAGAAATGGGAATAATGCGGATAAATTGGAGCGATAGCTTTTCTATGTAATCTACTTATCGCCCTTCCTCTCAAAATCGTCACATACTTAATTTACATGCTCCGCATACCCTGCATCCCCAGAGATAGCCTCCTTTGCATTTTTCTGAACCTCCTCGTCTTCATGATAGACGAAGTGAAGCGGTCTTTTGGTCGAAATGACATCTGCGTCGCCGGTAACGATTAGAGGTGGGTTGGAACGGTAGTACGCATCCATGTCTTCCAGAGTTCGGTTCGCTAAGAAGAATAAGCTTGTTAACTACAGTAGCAGAGACCGTTGAAATATAATTACCTGTCTCTGGGTATAGGAAGTAAATAATTGGCAGGAAGACGGCATTGAGGATTGTCCACACGATCCAGAATTTCCATCCGATACTTTGGATCCCAATGGGCGTAATTTCGACAATGGCGAAGTTAGTGATCCTGTAAACTAGAAGTCTGAGCAAAAAGGTCGGTTTGAGTGCGAGTCCTCCAAACAACTTACCAGTTAGTCGCAGTGGAAACCGCCGCACCCTTCGTTCTCATGGGAAGCGAGTTGATTTCAGTCGGGTATAACCACGGGACCCCCAACATGCCCATTCCGAAAGCGACGTGATAGAGGAAAAAGAAGGCAACGGAAGCAGTGGCGTAAACTGTGTCTCCCTCGGCCAAGTAAAGCAAAATTGTAATAATTAGGAAGGAAGCGAACTGGCCGATGCAAGATAGCATCATCAAGCCTCGTCGGCCGACTCGCTCCACTATTGTGGCTGCCGCGCATGAAAAGATGAAATATGAGGTCGCATTGCAAGCCGTCAACAGCCGAGCCATCTTGTCCGAAAGTCCGACCGAGTTCATAAGGACCAGCGGAAGGTAGTAACTCATAATGTTGATGCCTTCGATGCACCTCAATATCAGCAAAGGATAGCCTTCTTAAAGAGACGGGTAGCCCGCATCGAAAACATACCCTGGAACTGTTGCATGGCTTGGGTGCCGGCACCAAGAAGTAGTCGACGAAGGGTCTTCGTATTATCGCTTGCATTTACACGCAGAAGATGGCTCCACGGGACAGCGTTGTCAGACTCATATGCGATACTGAATTTGATCTCATCACGTTGGGTCATAATACGGGGATCTTCAGGGGATATAGCCTCGACACATGCAAGCACCTCCATCGCCTCCTCTTCGCGGGCTTGTGCCATGAGCCACCTGTGGCCGTGTCAGTATCATACCCAGCTTCTACACGACAAGTATTTGGTACCATACCTCGGGGATTCGGGGAGCCATGGGATTGTCATGAGCAATACAGCAATAAAAAAAAGCTGTAGAGCGATCGGCAACCGCCATGCGATGCCCCCTTTGTGGAAGGAAAGCCCATAATTTATCCAGTTGACAATACAGTACCCGCCGACATTCAGCCCGAGATCCAGGATGACCAGTTTCCCTCTCCATCTGGCCTGTGCCGTTTCCGTTTGCCAAATCGGTGCCGTTGCTGTGTTAATTCCATTGCCCAGACTAATTACCTTCTTAGTATGCATACGGGACGGAGACCTTGGACCCGCTCACCCTAGGACAATCCGACCGATGAACATCTGAGCTAGGCTGTAAGACGATGCTTGAAGAACGGTACCAACAGCCATAATGACGGTACCCAGGAGGATGGAACGTTTGCGACCTAGTCGTCCACCCACTGTAAAGGCAAGTATGGCTCCGAAGAAACAACCGATGTCGTAAATGGCAGCAACCGTTGAAAGGACTTTGGTTTTTGTAGGGCCGACTAGGCCGTGAACCTTCAAGAAGTCGGGAGTTACTACCACACCACCTGCGGAGAATGGGCAATTAGTATCCAAAAACTTTTCTTGTCGCAAAGGAAATGAAACGGGACGTACTGAAGACACCCTGATCGTATCCGAAGAGCATCATATCAGTAGCACACGCTACCTAGGAACGACCCGTATGTTAACATCATCCCGGCTGAGGCAAGACATGGGACTGTAATAAACATACCGTGAGCCAAAAGGTAAGGTATCCCCCGGTAAGCCTGAGATACGGCTTCTTTGTGAATGCCATCACTATTGATTGGAAGCTCCGATACAGAGGTAAGAGATCAAAGCCTGGAATGCTGTCAATCTGTTGGCATGAGAAGAACTGCTGGAAATATGCTGGGTGCCAGCCTTATATACCTCGTACTTTCGGACAATATCTAAAACCCCAAGAACCATACGGCCTGACCCCGGCTGCTCCCAGCCCCGGAATGCGGAGCAGTTGCGGGTTTTAGCGTGTGGGGAAAAACTTTCTCTTGGTAAATTAAGCACCAAAGTCCCAAGCCGAGTCGTCGTGCTATGTCTATGTCTGCTCTCCTACATGCGTGTTCCAGGAGAATTTGCAGCCTAGGAGATTGAAACCTAAGAGCGAAGTCACACTCCTGTGATGGAAGGCATCTTCGGCCATGTTCGGATTTGTAGATTCCAGTCCATCCCCGTATTCGATGAGACAAAGGAATAGAGCCAAGACGATGCACGTGTAGATCGCATACTATGGACCCACCAGAAGCGAACGGAGCAAACGCCGAACTAGGCCGGGGTTAGCGCCGGTCGAAGCATCTCCTCGGCTAGACCACGTCGGCAAAAAGGAAAGCTTGGGTACAGCATTAAATAGAGACGCGCGTATGATCAACGGTCAGTAAATCAGATGCCCCTACCCCGGATTTACACCGGGCTGAACAATACTTCAATGCGGAGGTCGGTGGCGAAGACGCAGAGGGCAAATCCATAGCCTATCACCACAATGCAAAAGGTCAACTCCTTAAATATCCCGGCCATTTACAGCTAAACGACTGAAATTAACTTCTCGGAGTCCTCTTGTAGCTGCTCGGCGCTGTCCACCACGTGCCTTAGTCTTCGGTGTTACTCCGGGCAAAGCGTGGCTTAGTTCCAACCCATTTCAAGTCATGCATGGCAAGTGGTCCCACGGACTTATCTCCGCTCGATGGCCCTGTTCGACCCAGAAGTCTTTAACATGGAGGCGTGCACTCGGTGCTCGAGTAGATAGATGGCGCGAAGTTAATCTGGCACCGACTGGCATTGAGGCCTTTGATGTTCAAACCAGTCTCCTATTACCTTGAAAACTGGAAGGCTGACGTGAGAGACATGGCGGACAAGATATTGGAATTGGAAAAGTTTGGGAATGGATTGCAAGCAATTTGGAAGAAAGAATGCATTAAGGTTGCAGTTGTATTTGACTAGTCGAACAGTAATGCTGAGAATAATATGAATATTATCGATTGGTCGCACTCAGCGTTTATGAGAAACTCGATGCAAACCCTTGTGATGGTGTCGCAGGCATGATTCTATAAAATATTAATGAACACTGCCGCGCCGAACCCAGTTAAGTTAATTTTGGAATTTTGTATAGTGACGTCATACACATGAAAGATCAATAGTTAACGTATTCGGTAAGCGAGTGACGCAGCCGAAAACACATAGTAAATGCGATCTACACGTATATATCGACAACCACTTCTTTATTCTGTCTCATTTATTGTAGATAACTGTTGATAAGTCTTGTTAACACGATATATTATTTTCAAATAAATCTGAAAGCTGCAATATTATGGTATCGAAAATTACATTGCTGTGAGCCAGATATATATATCTCTCAATTAATAAGTTGTAGAAATTCTATAAATTCCTTTAAGAGGCTACATACACTTGAAAAATATGGCTCTATAAGGAAAAGTTCCTATATGCCAACGTTGTTGACATATTAAGGTGTAATTTGTCGCATTTGCTATGTGTTTTGGGCTGCGTCACTCGCTTACCGAATACGTTAACTATAAGGACTATGTAAACCAGTCTAGCCATCCAGAATCTGGACCTGGATAGCGTTGGACCCCGGGTTGCTAGCTGTCTCAAATGCTTTCAGTCCGTCCTCCAGGTCGAACCGATGAGATACCAATGGCTTGAGATTAAGAATACCAGCAGCAACCATTCTGATAGCTTTAGGGTAGATGTCGTGGTAGCGGTATTGGAACTTCAAGTCGATTTCCTTTGCCGACATGTGCATGAAAGGGATATTCTGGAAGTCCTTGCCGACACCGATAACAGAAACAGATCCGCCAAAACGAGTTGCCTGAAGCCAAAGGAGGGTGGTTAGCAACTGAGTGTATGGCTCATCTCAGTCATGATAACTCACATAGATGCCTGAGTGTACACTACTCTCGACCCCAGTACACTCAAAAACCAATTTGGATTCTTGGCCCAGCTCCCAGATCATTCGATCCCCAAGATACTTGGCACTTTCCTACTTCTGGACGTGGACTGGTCGAACTCGCGGGACAAGCCCCTTAGCCATGGCCAGGCGGTTCTCCAAGTCGGTGATCACAATGGGCTCCGCACCGGCAGCACTAGCAGCAAGTAAGGTAACGGGGCCAGTGGGGCCGGCACCGCAGATCACGATGGGATCCGCGAGCCGCAAGCCAGACCTATCAATACCGGCCAGCGCAACAGAGAGGGGCTCCACCCAGGGACCCTTCCTCAAATGAAACATGGTTCGGAAGCCGGTGCAGCCAAGAATCCGGATGGGCATGGTATCGTCGTAGGGTGCCGTGATACGGGGGCGTAGAGAAGAAAACCACCTCGGGGCAGGCGTTGTACCTTCCGGTGCGGCAGAAATCGCAGGTCGGCTTCGAACACGGAATGCCACACTCCATGGCGACTCGATCGCCTAGTAGTCTGTGAGAATTTTGCGATGCATAACTAGGTATCTACCGATCAAGGGCTTACCAGGTTTGAAACGTGTCACGGAATCTCCCATGTCCAGTACCACCCCAGCACTTTCGTGTCCCAGACCATTGTCCCCTGTCACGATCATGGATCCGATATGACCGTGCTTCCAGAAGTGGACATGAGCCACAGATTCCAGTGGCTCGAACGTGGATCAGGCATTCATGGGGGGCTAGCTTGGGGATGTCACATTCGACCAAGCGCAGATCGTGGGATGGATTGGTGTGAACCGCTAAATTCTTGGGCTTCCTGCTGATAACGTCCATTTTCGGTGGATTAGTGATTCAGTGGGAATGTCTCTTGAGATTTAGCAGGGGTATGCGTAGATGTATGACTGATTCTATACCTACTCTCTGGGAGAACCTTCTATCTTTGGTTTGCCATCTTGAGAAGGGACTATCGCCGGGATGATCAGCGTGGTTGCCGCGCCTGTAGTCCTTCCAGTCAATCTATCGGCCCGATTGTCGAGGAGACCGACGTGGTGTTCTATAGCCCCACTCACGCCCTAGCGTCGGGCTGGAAGGTATCTCTGCGGCAAGCTATTGCCTGCCTAGAAAGTCTAGGAACTTCCCACGAAATTGCAATTCGTGCACGGAGTATCCTACAGAAGGTACTTGGTAAGGCCACGTATTGTTCGCTCTTTATCTTTCCCCCACCCACAAGTCTGAGTGACTAATCTTAGCTAGAACAAGGACATGGTCCCGATTTAGCGTCTAAACCACCTGCTACCGCTGCTCTACGTCCTTTGAACTTTCCTTGGGTGGAATCCCCAGGGAGTGACACTCAAGCACTATACAATTATTCTTTTATTAGTTTACAGCTCATGGACCGTCCCATACGGAGCTCCTTGACGCCGCAAGTGGCGTCATGGTCAATAAATTCTTTAGTGCGTCAACTGAGAATCCGTAACTATAGCTATACAGCCGCGTAAAAATTAATGGCGTGCGCTCTTTGATACGAGGAGTCGAAGTGTCGGTGTACTCTAATTCAACGGCTCACTTATGATGAACAGGCTTTAAGGATATTTGAAACCCCACATATCTTCTATATTGAAAGGAGGTCTTTGAAATTCAGCAGAAGATATTATAGTAGAATTTCCAATAATCAAAGAGTAGAAATACAATCAACGAGAACAAGTAAGCGAAGGATACAAGTTCAAAAAATCAAGACAGCAAGAGGAGCTTCTAGCACCTTGGCAGGGCAGGTGATAACGTCACCTTATACAAGACCCGTCTAGATGCAGCCATAGCCACCACATCTCTATGCCCAAAGCGGTCTTAGCGCACAGTCTATCCTATACGGTATATTTCTTACGCCTTCAGGCAGTGATGCATTTCCACATGTAGACACGTGTATTCAATCTTATAGTTTCAAGGATAAATCCAATCTCGTGTTCCAATCTCGTGTGAATCGTGAACAGCACTCACCTCCCATGAGTAGTAAGTATCTTTCAGAATCACAATGCCAAGGATGGAAGACACGTCTAAAACGCACTTTAAGACTTGTGCATGCAGGTCACATATATATGCATATTGGTGCGGGGTGATGGGAGTGGGATAAAACTTATTTCTCTGTACGGCAGAGAGAGGTGTATAATAATTACCTTTAGGCAACGGTCCTAGGCTTGGGATATTATTGCGTATTGATCTCATGCTGAGGCTACGATGAGGTAACGAATCACTTTCACGGCTATTTTTAACAAAGGGAACCCCAGCTGTCATTATTGTCGCTGCCTAGGGATGGAATGGGGAACTCGCGATCTGCAGCTCCATCTACATCTGCGAGGGGGCGGATACGCCGTGAGCCCGATCGGCAATTCGGGGCTGTGTAACAGGTGACATTCCCCGATCGGCAGTGGGGTTAGGTGTCTTGGTGGGTTTTGGATAAATTTACATTGCACGCTCAGTGTGAGATCCGCATCACCAAAGAGCAATCCATAGAGCAGATGATATACAGCGAGTGCTATCTAGGGTAGGTAGGTGGAATCTTTTTTTTCAAATACCAATGGAGAGGGGCCTACTGGTGATGTACCAACACGAATACGAGGGAAAACTTGAAATCGGCCTATTCCATTTGTTAAGTCTAATAGATGATTTATCGATATACAGGACCATTATCCATATACCCATTAAACAACCAAAAGTTGAATGCCTCTCAAACCTTATGACCGTAACCTCCCGTAGACAAAAAGGATAATACATTACCGTTTCCATATCCCAAAATTGAACCCCATCACAAATCCCAAATCCCAAACTCCGAATCCCAAACAGTCCACCCAGTGGATGCATCCAGGTATCATCAATACATAGTAATCAAGTAGTCTTTCGTCATGTCATGAAGTTATCGAAGAAGTTGGGAGACTCATTTAATGAGTATTGCGTCGCTTTTTGAGTCGAAGAGTGATTTTCTTCCGTAGTTCAGAGAACGGGTTCACCAAGGGACGATTGTAGAATGGATCGTTCTTGAAGTCCTCATCGGTGAATTTCTGGAACGGAGTTAGTAATGGTGACACAATAGGATGGGAAGAAAGACATGCCGTGCCAGGAAGGCGCATAAAGTTAGCAGCGACGTCGTCCATCATATTGGAGCCTTCTTCGTAAGAGTACTCCTGGCCGTCGCGATCGGTGGTTCCAGGAGGATAGAAGGCGACGCCATCCAGTGGCCGGTGACTGTTTAGGGCGTCGGCGATCTTGTGGTGGGGAGTAGCGCGGAGGGCCTCGGCATTTGACTCCTTGACAGCTTCCAGCGGGCTGGACTGACTAAAGCGGTTTCGTTCAGGGCGGGCTGCGTCGTACGGACCCTCGTGGTGATAGGAGAAATTAGTGACATTGTCTAGCCTGTCGATGACATCGGGTTGCACAAGTTGTGAGTACCGGGGGTACTTGTTGGTGCGGCGGCGATGGGCAGCAGAATGCTCGCGTTTGCGTCTCGGCTCAACCGGATAATGTTCGGGCGTGCCGGAATACCAGATAGAAGGCGCGGAGTTCACAGACTCAGAACGCGACCGTCGAGAGTAGGCAGATGGCTTTGGTGAAATGTAGCGGGCATATGGATTGTTGATGCCCATTCTTGTCCCCACGTTTTGGTGTCGATCTTGGCCGACTTGGTTGAAGGGATGGTGGGGATGGTGGCCAGAGGCCATGTGAATGCAGTCGACTGCCATTTCGATTTTGTTTGAAGTGTTCCTGTAAGATGAAAATGTATTATCCAGCCTGAAAGGCGCAAGGCGATGATTAACCCGTTTTATAAGTAAGAAGTACTTTATTTAGAACAGGTGAGGCTGAGCATTGATGCAGGATAGCTCGTACAGCAGCTGACGATGTTGGTTGTAAAAGAAGAAGTGAGAAATAGATGCAGCTGGGTAGATATAGAAGGAAGAATTTCGAGGGAGTCCGAGGGAGTCAAGGAGAACTTATATGAAAGGAAGCTGCGGACGTGACGTGATGACTTGCGTTGTAGCCCACGCCTAACGATCCCTCGTGGCTATACATGGTTTACTAGTCGATTAATATTTTCACTAACTGCATGCACCAATTATCTCTTGGAATAAAACATCATGTGGGTCGACGTGTAGGGCTTAGTATTTGAGGCCGCAGACTCCCGGAACGTCGACGGACTATGGAGTCGGTGATATCATGGGTTGTACACAGGTACTACTCAATAACTTCATCTACTTTCCCTTGTACAGAAAAAAGAATCGAAGTAGATTAAAATTATAGCAATTTTGCTTGAAATGAATCCCATGATTCACCATGCGTAAAGACTAAATCCATGCGAGGCCCATGTTGCATCCCACATCCGAGACTTCCACGCAGTCCGCGTACTGATCGACTCCTATGACGATATCCCTACACGAAGTGCCTCCACATATTATTTCTTTCTGGTTCTCTTTATTTTTTAATCATCCTGCTAGCAATCCACACCTTGAGAGTACATTTACTTAGTAAGCCGGACATCTATTCCCGGGGGTTCCGGGCGATGACTCGCTCATGGATTAAGCTTATCGCTATGGGGAATAGCTGTCTCAGATTGGCATACCCCTGGCGTGGTCTATAGATCTAGACTCCCTTGCCTTTGGGTAATTCCAAATTTCTTTTTTATTTTCACCGCTTTTTGCTCCTTGTGACTATTTACGTACGTTTCATCTCATTGTCCCACATATACACATACAATCTAGGCGGATGTCTCAAGCATAGCTACATATATATAGAATACAGCCAATTGAGACCTTTGATCTGCTTGACATTTTTTGCGGGGCAAATCAACACCATATCTCATCACGGAACAGCATCGGCATCGTCGATATTGATAGTAGGGTAACTATTTGATCCACCAAATAATTCTCTCCCATATAGAGCGACACACAATAATTCATCACATGCATAAAGTTGCGGTACGTAATTCATGATTTTCGCAGTTCATTTGGAGGGGAAATGTCTCGCCACAGAGCAGAGGAATACAATCCGGGGTAGGACTGCCAACATTCCAAATTGGAGTTAGCAGCAGAGGTGGAACTACAATATCAATGTTTGTATAAAGAAGCAATATTACTATGTACGAAGCGACACTAATCTAAGAGGAACTGTATACGTAGGTGAAATATCCCTCGCTCAAGCTTTAGTCACAATTCGAGAGCTCCCCATAGCTTCATATTTGGCTTGTTAAACTAGTTTTTACCTCTCCTGGTTAGTATTAAAGGTTGGTCTGAACGGAAAGGGAGACACCGGTGCTCACAGAATTGATTTGTATTGTTCTTATACCCTGATGCAAAGTTGTTTCTGATTGAATGAAGCCTGAAAGTGCATAACAGTATTTATTTTATATTCCTCCCGAAATTTACTTCAGAAATACACCTGGATATTCATCGATCGTTTGAGATATTGTGGTCCTTTGTCTATTAAACTGGATTGTTAGTCCGGTTGTTAGTCTAATGGTACGCATCAATCATATATGCACTTAAGCTAACACTGTGAACTATGCTGCACTATTCTAATGATCGTGTCCTAGCTCGAATACGTAATTGACTCATAGTTAAGCACCTTGCCATCGGGCCAGCGGTTCTTTTTCAAAGAAAGGGGCAAAAATTAGGTCTACAAAGGAGCGGGGACTGGGCCCGCGGCTCCGAGAATCCGCGGCTGTGATAACGAAGACACGACAAAGGACCTAAGGAAAACCTTGTAATGAGGGGAAGGTGTTAAGTTTAAGAGATAAGCTTCAGCGAATCGCGGGGTACATGGGCATTATAACTTCTAATTCGCTGTCGTATTAGCACCTCGTATGTCTATATCCTAAATCTATCAACATGAGCTGTAATTTCGAGTGGCCGAATTCTTGTAGGGTAGTGAAGTTCTGCTGTACTCCGCATTTAAAGCACAGCTAAGGTCCAACAATCAGAGTTAGACACAAACCCATATTTCGGAATTCCAGCTTGCCTTACATTCAAATACAAAAATGGAGATCGGTAAAGATAATGAGCTCGAAGATTCTCCAGCAGACAGTCAACATATTGAGTTAGTCCACAATGATATTGAGACCAACGGAGGCTTTGCAGAGCTTGTCATCCAAGATGATGCACATTTTCCAGACGGTGGTGTCAAAGCTTGGTGTACCGCTCTTGCTGGGTTCTTAGCATTTGTTGCCAGTATTGGTTTTCTGAGTGGTGGTTCTGTATTCCAGAGCTACTATACCACAACGACGCTGTCGTCATCGAGCTCGTCTGATATTGCCTGGATCGGGAGTGTGCAACTCTGGGGTTGCTTTTTCTTTGGCATTTGGGCTGGCAGGTTGTCTGACAAGTACGGACCAACTTTGCCCTTCGCAGTGGGGACCTTCTTTATGGTCTTTGGCATGATGATGGCTTCCATCTCGAAGAGTTACTACCAGTTCCTACTATCACAGGGTTTTTGTGTTGGATTTGGCATGGGCTTGATATTCACACCAGCTCTAGCAGTCCAATCACAATGGTTTTTAAGAAGACGTGGATTTGTCGTTGGGGCAGTTATGTCGGGCCAGAACGTGGGAGGTGTGTACCTGGGCTACTCATACCCGATTTCAAGTCCCCAGACTAATTTTACTTTCTTCAAATCAGGGATAGTCTGGCCTGTAATGGCAAATAGGCTCCTCAATCATGATGGAGTGTCATTGAGCTGGACGCTACGCATCATTGGCTTCATGCAACTGGGCTTGATGGTTGCCGCCACTATATTAGTACAGCCGCGATTTCCCCGGACCTTGGAACATGATGGACTCCCTGTAAAACAATACCTTACCGATAAACGCACTATTCTGTTTGCAATCGCAATGCTCGTCATGGACTTGGGAATTTATGTCCCATGGGTAAGTGGCAAGGATACAACGAATAATTTCAGATGACTGACAAGCTTGTCTCAAATCATAGTTCTACATCACTCCCTATGCAATGCGGTACGGTGCTTCCGCAAGCCTCGCCTTCTACGATGCAGCGATCCTAAATGGCGGCGCACTTTTGGGGTGCTATGCCTTAGGCATTATAGCTGACTCCGGCGTGGGATTTTTCAATTCTCTTACAGTGGCCACTTTCGGATGCGCCATTGTGGCCTTTGCTTGGATTGGTGCCCAAAACACCGTAGGTGTAATTGCGTGGGCTATAATGTACGGTGTTCTGTCCGGTGCTCTTCAAGCCATTTTTTCACCATGTTTATCTCTCCTGGCACCGACGCCAGAGGTGATCGGCTCCTGGAACGGTGAATGCCTGCTTGTCTCAAAAGCTGAACTCGAATTAACATGTTTTAATAGGGATTGGTATCGCGATTGCTTCATTTGCAGTCCTAGGTACTGGGCCAATTGCTGGGCAACTGCTCAGTGATACCGGAGACAATAGTTACCTACCGATGCAGTTGTTCACCGCAGTTTCCTTGGCTCTGTCTGGTGGCTTCTATCTAGTCACTCGGTTCTTGGTGTCTCGTGATAGGTGGGTTTGAGTGAGCCATCGGGTGTTGAGCTAGACTCGGCTTTCGGTGGTGGAGGCTGCTGTGGTGTTTTCGTAGTTCCGCTTTGTCCCAGAGCCCACTTATTTTGTCAGATGTTAGCTATTATTTTCAGAATACTGAGAAGCCTTTCTATGATGTCCGAATCCTCTAAAAAGGAAAGATTGTGGTTGTTGTTGGGAGCCTGGTCTGTGAGGCCACCAATGGTGACAGGACTAGTTAGCTAGATGGCTCTCTCTCTCTCCGTGGGCTTCGATTGGAATGCAAGGCAGTCTTTCCCCAGTCCTCCTTGCGGAGCCTTTGCATCAGTATCACTTTTTAGATGAGCTCAGAGCCTCGCCGATGCCTGCCGTGGTCTAGTTACCGGCTATATTTGCTACCATTATAGCGCGACTTCCAAACCGTTAGGATGGCTCCGCGAATCCAAGACGGGTCCACCGTCTTAAACGCGAAATGTTATTAGGCTCACCATTTGCTCACTCTTTAGAATCCCCTAGTAAGGCTGACACGCTACTAAACGCGTCGCCCATGTCTTTCCACTTCAGGCCCTCACTTTAACCATCAGATAGAGAGGATCGGTCTTTGAATAGCTTCATAGTGGCAGATTATGGAAAATACATATGGCTGTGATTTTTTACTATGGAAATTTGAAAACTGACTGCCAAGAGTGACCTTCCCTAAAAGGGTCTTATCACTGTGCCAACAGGGAATCTCTATGCCAACAGGGGAATTGCTCTGCCAACAGGGTTTACCTTATAGCCGTGAAGAAAGAGCGATACAAGGGGGTGCACCGCCCGCTGTTGTGTGCAGCTCGCAAGTAAATTACGTTACCAAAAATATGTGTCGCACCACATTGTAGATATCGCAGCGCATTCACTATGGCAACGCACCGAGCAATTGCTACTAGTCTGTACGTTTATAAACTCAGTCGCTTTCCCCGACTTTTCCACTGCTCACCTTTCGCTATTCCTCCTGCATCCCTTTCAATACCTCGGATCTTTCCAGTTTTCAGTTGATTGAGAGAAAGCTATTGAGTGTCAGTTTCATCATGGAGAACTATCAGAAAATTGAGAAAGCCGGCGAAGGTGACGTTCGCCTGTTTGGCATGGTTACCCCAGACCCAAGCTGACGGACCTCTCGTTTACCACAGGAGCATACGGTATCGTCTACAAGGCTCGAGAGCTGAACTACCCTAACCGCATCGTTGCTCTAAAGAAGGTCCGACTCGAAACCGAGGATGAGGGCGTCCCTAGTACAGCCATCCGAGAAATCTCCCTTCTCAAAGAAATGAAAGACCCGAATATTGTCGAGTTGCTGAATATCGTACATGTCGATAGCCACCAACTCTATCTTGTCATGGAGTTCTTAGACTTGGACCTGAAGAGATATATGGAGGCATTGCCTGTCAGCGAAGGTGGCCGCAGTAGACCTCTACCTAATGGATTGAGCATAAGCCTTGGTCTAGACGAAGCGATGGTGAAGAAGTTCATGGCACAACTTATTGAGGGTATCCGCTATTGCCACAGTCATCGTATTCTGCATCGTGATTTAAAGCCGCAGAACTTGCTTATTGACCGGGAGGGTACTCTGAAATTGGCAGACTTCGGACTGGCTCGGGCTTACCGCGTTCCGCAGGGGAGGTATACCCATGAGGTAATAACCCCTGCTTAAAGAGAAATTATCTAAACTCTTCAACATTAACATAATTTCCTAATAAGGTTGTGACCCTATGGTATCGTGCTCCGGAAATTCTTCTTGGTGGTCGCCTGTACTGCACCGGCGTCGATATGTGGTCTGTGGGAGCTATTTTTGCTGAGATGTGCACCCGCAAGCCACTCTTCCCTGGTGACTCGGAAGTTGACCAAATCTTCAAGATATTCCGGTAAATACTAATCTTTATATCTATGTTGCAAATGGGATTGACGTTCTCAATTCGATAGCCTCCTTGGTACTCCTGACGAAGAGAGCTGGCCTGGTGTCACTGAGTTACCCGACTACAAAGCCAGCTTCCCTAAATGGAAGCAGCCCAACACCACTCTGGTGCCCGGCCTAGAGAGTTCTGGCTGCGAGCTACTAGAGGCTCTTCTCCAGTACGACCCCGCGAAAAGGCTCTCCGCGAAGCAGGCTTGCCTGCATCCTTACTTTCGTAATGAAAGTTCATACTACTCTGGTCGCGCTCGCTGAAGCAGAGCTGAACACGTTTGAAGCTGAGTAAACAGTGATATTGCGTTTGCAGCTATGAGCCTATGCTCCACTTCCATTCAATCTTTCGATGTCGTCCAAATGTAAATAACGCGAAGCTCCTATACAATTACTTCAAAGCTAGTCCATGTCCCAATGATTGTACTTGCATGTTCCTAACATGCGCCTTTTTGTGACGCCGGAATCTTAGACCTACTCATTGATGGTATGACACCTAGAAATGCGTAAGTTCCAATATAAATACTCTGGGCATGATGTGACGAGATTCTGACGAGTGTACTGTGTTGACTTTGTGGAGCCGTCCCAGGCTGCCTACTGAACGGAAGAAGCTATTGTTCGTAAGGACAGTGTGGGCTCGGCAGCAATACTCGACACGAGCTAAAATAGGGTTGATACGATCAAGCTGAAGACATGGAGCGACGGCGGGAATGAATTGCAGGAGATCGGTCTAGACGCTGAGTCCCTCGGGAATATTACCCAAACATCGTCACCTCTACTGATGACTTCGTGCGAGGCAGCATCCAAGCTAGCTTTACTGCTAGATGCGGCTAATACGGAACTGAAATTTGGTATTATCGTGCAGCTGCCAAGAGATCATGAGTTTTAGATGGAGCCGGGCAACCCCATCCTGATTTAAATGCTACAACTATCTAGGAGCTGATGATATTTCTATATATATCGAGGTTCGATATTTAGGAAGAGTAGTATACCTTTCTTTAGGAGTTCTTCTCTCGTGATAAGACCGAAGTAGTAGACGAGGAGAAAGATAACACCGCTAATATATATGATCTTAATCCAATTAGTGATACCGAAGAGGATACGGTTATATAAGAGAGATACTAAGAGGTACAGCCTTGAACTACATAAAATATGTAGTCATGCTTCTTCCTATATTTGCACTGTTTGCCGACCCATATGGGTTTCAATGGGGCCCCTATGGGTTACCCATCTCGACCCAAAACCCGCAATGGGTCGGCCGACTCGACCCAAAACCTAACCTATTGCGGGTTGGGTCGGGATGGGCCTTGGGTTTTGCGGGTTTTGTCGACTACTCTAAACTTTAGAGTAGTCGACCAAGCCACCTTTTCGCGATCTTCTTTACGGGAGTACAACGCCATAACGGACTAAAGCCCTAAAGCCGCAGAGCCCGAGGGCCCACACAACCGAGCTCCACCCTTCCCACAAGCCGTCGGAAAATCAGTGGTTAATGATGTGGCGGAACCCGAATGGCCCCGCATTTCCCCACCCCGCCGGAACCTGGTTAGCGTGCTCCAATCCTCTGCCATTCCCCAAGTTACGACCCTATACTGTGTAAAAGCGAAGGCCATGGTCAAGTTTGACAGCTCCCGACGCCATTTTTAGGGGGCAATTTCTACGCATTCGCACTAGCCGCAACCATCACGGCTATCTTACCTATATAACAGGTATCAGATGATAGCGCTTAGAGTTACGACTACGATAAACTAATTCTCGAGGCCGTAGGATCTCCGATTGGCGAGATATCCCAAGAATGCGTTTTGGCATCCTTTTGACTTCCGAAGAAATTGTAATGCGAAGAGTCGGAGGTTTCCGAAATAGTTCTAGGCGGGCGCTATTAGCCAATTCGCTTCAACAGTTACACCGAGACCGAAGTTCCGAGGGAATTAAAGTTGAACAGGACCTGAGGGAGTATTTAAATCGAAAAAGAAGTGGCCTACAACTCGACGACTGTGGACATCTTTTATTATTCACATTGTACTCTACAGACTGTTCTACTCGTTCAGTTTTCCTCAAATTTCCTCCTTGCACCCCCATCAATCTCCATAACCTCCCACTTGTCAAAGCTATCTCCAATCCGTCGATCCCATTACTTTGGAATGCCTTACAAAGTCGGAGAAATCGAGGTATTACAGTGCCCAGTAAATTCGGTTGACCAACCGCGGGCGCACTACAATGAATTTGAACCTGGGACGGTTGTCTTGCCTAAGGGCTATCAAAAGACGCCACGTCACCGCCCATTCGCTGTTCCAACAGTGTGGGAAAGAGATATAGCGATTCCACTCCGCGATGGCACTGTCATACGAGCTGACGTTTTCCGGCCTCAAGACGCTGATGGCAAAGTTCCTGCCGTGGTAGCCTGGGGTCCATACGGGAAAAGCGGCTCTGGTATGGATCACCTATGTCTGGATCAGGCAGTAATTGGTGGCTAACGACCATACAAGGTTGGTTTTCATTAGACATGATGCATGGCCGCGTCGGCATCCCTCAAAGCATGCTGTCTGGCTTTGAGAACTTTGAGGCGCTAGATCCGGCAGATTGGACAGCTCGTGGGTACGCCATTGTGAATGTGGACGCACGTGGTGTGTTTGATTCTGATGGGGACATTAGGTAGGTGGTCCGCATTCCTACATTCGGAGTAAATATTCACCTTACGCTTTACGCAACAGATGGTGGGGAACTGGGGAGGGCAAAGATGGTTATGATGCAATTGAGCATATAGCACAGCTTCCCTGGTGCAACGAGAAGATCGCTATGGCCGGAAACTCTTGGCTGGCAATAGCTCAATGGTTCATTGCTGCCGAGCGCCCCCCACACTTAGCTTGCATCGCGCCTTTCGAGGGTCTTAGCGATGCCTATCGAGAGACATTGTGTCGAGGCGGCGTGCCTTATAAGCCATTCTGGACGTTTCTTGGCAGAGAGTGTCTCTTTGGTAAAGCTAGCCTCCCACTGACATGGTCCTTTCTGCTAACAACACCCATCTCCAGGCAAACACCAACAAGAGGACACATTAGCTATGGTAGACAAATATCCTCTGATGAACGAGTACTGGGAAGACAAGACAGCCAAGATTGAGAACATCAAGTGCCCGGCCTATGTTGTCGCAAGCTTCTCTAATGGACTGCACACCGCTGGAACTTTTCGCGCCTTTCAAGGAATACCGCATCAAGACAAATGGTAGGTCGTTAGAGGACGTCATTCTTCAAAGAGAAACGAGCTATCTCGTTGACACTTTTTATTCAGGCTCCGAGTCCACCCAACAAATGAATGGCATGATATATATCAGCCCCATAATAATAACGACTTGCAAGAGTTCCTCAATTATTTCACAAAAGGGAAACAAAACTCGTGGGACCAAACGCCAAACGTCCGACTCTCAATACTGCAGTTCAACAAGGTTGGCTTTAGCTTTCAGATCAAGTTACAATCAACATATTGGTCCTCTCGCTAACCAGAGCACAGGCGCCAATTATGAATCAGGCCTTCGGTGACTGGCCAATTCCAAATACGGAATATCGCAGGCTTTATCTCTCCAGCGGGGGATCGCTTACGCAAAATATTTCCCCAAATGAAATAACTCTTTCGTACCAAGCCGATGCACCAGCTTTCCAACGTGTTACAGATACTGAGGAACTCTCCTTTGAATACACATTCGATGATAGGAGCTACGTTGTCGGTCACCCTAAAGCAGTGCTGTACATGTCATGCAACGACTATGACGATATGGATGTCTTTGTTCAGCTTCGTAAGTTGGACAAAGGAGGGAATCTTCTACAGAACCTCAACGTTTCTCTCGAGCATCTACCATTCGGGGAATCAGAAGTTGAAGACGTGGGTTCTATGAAGCACCTTGGTCCCACTGGAATTCTCCGTGCCAGTCATCGTAGGCTGGACTCACGTCTCTCACAGCCACACCTACCTGTTCTCACTCACTCGGATGAGGAGAAGATCATTCCCGGTGAGGTTGTCAAGCTTGAGATTGCTTTGTGGCCGACGGGAATCTCATTTGACGCCGGTGAAAAGTTAACGTTCAAAGTCGCTGGGCATCACATGGCGTTCGCCGAGTTTATCGCATTACAGGGCGGATATGAAACAGATAACAAAGGTCGTCATAACCTGCACATAGGATCGAAGTACCCGAGCTACATTGAGATACCTTTTATAACTATATAGTACTGCACCAAAGTCACGAATCCCACGCAATACGGGGGATTGAACGTGTGGCTCAGCTTACGTTCTGTTGCAATTCGGAGAAAGATCAATTTTGTCACTTCCATATTCTGAAAAGTGAGGTTTTACCTATAAATCAATACAAATTTACTTTCCATTAGTCCGATTGGAGATGCGTTTCGTTTATGTAGTCGAGACTGAATTTACTCCCAGCCGGGCAAAAAGGTCACTAATGCTGTTTGAGGGACAATGTTAGAATCCTCTTGCTTTGGCCAGTAAGTGAAACAAACCTTGATACTTGCCAAAGTATGACAGAAAATTACGGCTCCTTTGTCTACATTGGGAACCGTCCCACGTTGGAACTTGGAAGTCTCTCGGCAAAAGAGCCGCTTTAACCGTACCGAAAAGAAATGCTGAAGGATGAAGTCAGAGCAAGCCGATATAGTATGGACTAGTACGCAGATTGGCGAATGAGATCAAACGGAGCCGACATCAGATGAATAAGATGGTTGATTGAAACAAAATAGAAGATGTGTCAGGTAAAATGGAGATCTGCACTATGTTGACTCATCTGGTACCTCCATGGCAACCTGAGATCTGCGTGACTACAGGTCAGTAGGGGTCGGCTGAACTCTCAGTAGGGTGTCTGGCCTGAGGCGACAACTCCGTTTCCATTTTCCAAACTTTCCTGACCCGTAAGGTCTGGTTCTCTGTCACCCTTCTATCCATTGTTGCTGACAATTACCATGTCCTTTCACCCTCAGTCCCGTCTTTATACCCCATTCCGTACACTGCCCTTATAAATCTAATCAACTCTCGCGTTAGATATCTCGTGAGCTAAGTACAAGAATATAAGCTAAATAAGGTACTTGTTACGCACTGCTAAGTTAGCAGTGCCAACTGATCACAGTTAGGTTAGAAGGTTTCCGCGCATACTTGCCTTATACTCCTCAGGTTTCCAACGTCAACGATCTGTCTCTCAGCCGTACTGTTTCCTAACAGGCCTTACTGCAGGATAGGTCCTTTTGAGGGTATCGAGGAACGGTGCCAGGTAGAGCGCCAAATAGATCTATACCGAGGTATTGGTCTATTCGTGAGGGTTGTCAAGTTATAATCAAGTAAAAGAGTGACAGTAATCCAAAGGTAAACACAAGCAACAATGTGTGAATTGAAGAAGAAGAACTAAACTAGGTACATAGATGAATGTCCTTATATATCTATCCTGAGTTCTTCCTGTGTGGATGAGTGGATAGTAGATTAGTAGAATTGCCTTGGCAGATTCTACCTGTCAATCATCTACCGGTCTTGAGATTCTGTAAGGATCGCATGGTTTCTATTGGATAGTACTAGCTAGGCCACAAAAGTGCATATAATTACATAACCCGGTGGAGCCCTCGCTTTTAGACCAATAGAAACCCTTTCTCTCTGTGCGCCCAGGACCACTCCCTGGCCCTGGCCAGCCTCAGGCATCCACTCCCTGTTGAGTGCCTGAGGCCACTAAGAGATGCAAACCCTGCAAACCCTTCGGGACGACAGTCTACTACCTGCAGGATCACGTGGTCGTAGTTTCCCGAAAGGGCAACTTTCTGATGTGCCTGTTATCCGGTACTGAAAGACGCGCGCTGCGCATGCTGTGGCCCTAAAACGAAACGGGTTGAAAAGTTAACTGGATTTGAAGAGATAACATGAAGCTGAAGGGTTGTTTTTGAGGTCTATGCTAAATAGATGATAACGCAATTTCGGTAAGATAACACACATACTTAGCGTCGTAGGACCAAGGGGGAATAATGAGCTTCCCGATCTCAGGGTGGATACTTTTCCCTACGGGTCTCCCCGAAGGACCTGCACTCGAACTACTCTTCCCAATAATGTACATGGTACATAAGTCTCGTTTCATACCCATGTCTCCACTCGCCAGCGCCTTGGCTCTGTTAGTTTGATGTAACTTTGAAGGCAAATGAGAAATGTTCTCATACGCTAAAGATACATATGTGGATATCAATGGGGCCACACTCGACTTGGGCATGTGAAGATGTAGAGATAGCCGGGGGAAATAATACAGCCATTCTGCCATTAGACCATAACAAAAAGCTCGGTTCCAGTTTAGGGCCTAGGGAGGCCATATTTTCGACAATAGCAATAGCCATCCTCCGGTCCACCTTCTTGGCTTGACTCTTGGCTTTGCTTGTATTTGCAATTTGACTATCAGCCGGGACAATGGTTACCCCTGTGGTGTGTCTTGAGGCAATTGAATAATAGTTTCATAATAGGCGGTAATCTTTCTCATCTCTCCTATTCCATATAATCATAAGCCTCTGCGACCGCGGGGACTCATACGGAAAGTCAAGCTTCGGTAATCAGTGGCCTGAGCCCTGGATGGGGCGACGGGCCTGCCAATATTGGAAGTATGAACTCTGTAGAGATACTTATATAGGTAAGTCAGTTGGTCACTTGTGTCTGTGCAAGCCGCCGTTCCCGAGGTTATCTAGATCTGGCTCCGGGGGAGTGGAGGCCTCGGGGAATACATACGGAGTACTCCGTAGGTATAAATAAAACGTTGTCACCTGGGCACATGGATGGACATGGATGGACATGGATAGACACGGATGTATATGCAGCACCTAGTAGGTGCTAGTATGTACTAGTAATGCTTACTATTGTAAAATGATAATACCGCTAGTCGACGCGCAGAGGCCGTAAATAAGGCACTGTTAAAAACAACATGACGCATTAAATTGGTTTATGTAGGTTAATTACATTAATGCCTGATTTGACCTGAGCGGTGAGTTAGATATGTTCTATGATCTGGCTTTCCGACGTTTGGGACACCTAAGTCACGAAATCTAGTCCTGCAAAATATAAGCACATCAACCCCATCCTCATGAGAATGAGAACTCTGTGGGGGCTGTCTTGTCTGGCACACTTTGTGTTTTTTGTCAATATTGGGTACGGGTTCGACTGTCTCGGTCAGTGGTGTGATACATGTCTTCCTGCGAAGGTTCATGATGCACCTGGGGTTGGCTTCGATCTGACCCCCTCATACGGGTGGCTATCTCAATGGTCTTCTTTCTATTACCCAGAAATATATCTAATGTTTGGAATATAGGACAGCCGTGGTGCACTACTATAATGGAACTGTTGTCGAGGTCGCTAAGGTTCCGGGGAGTCCGGAATACCTCGAACTTATGGCACGTCCGGCTACTGCATCTGAGCCTGTAACAGACTCAACCCTCGGTCTAATAAGTGAACTTCTATCACGTTTATTGGAATATCTCCTTCCGGACCTGTCGTCGCCGTGGAGAGACTGGTGGCATCGGCTGAACACGAAACTCGGTCGACCAGTCAAAGCAGATGACGTCGAAATCATTAGCGATTTACTCCACGAACTGAAAGCCTCCACCGAAAAGAAAATCTCCCAGCCTCTTGACAGGGTTGCCGTTACAGATCCCGGCTTCCAGTCGCTTAGCACAGCGACAATCAACGCTGCACTTCGAATGTTAGATCTACGCTCATGGGTTGGACGCGACAGCCCTTATTACACACAGCGGCTATTGGAAGCAGATGCTGCTTACGGGGCGAACGGTTACGGACTATGCACCAATTACCTGGATCGCTCCGATTGCATGGACGAATTTGCAGAGTCACCTGATGCTAACATATTTTTTGTCTCCTATAACCGCAACCTCTTATATGCTAGCATTGTGGAAGGTACAGCTAGTGAAGCTTTCAGTCGGGTTGCCTGTGTTGCTGCCCAACTCGTGGATTACGAGCTTGGGCTAGATCGTCTGCTCGAGAAAGACGAAGCCGCATTATGGGACCGCCTTCATTCGCAACTCCAGATCCTGCCTCGGGAGTACGAATATGCGGTTACGCATCTCCTTTTAGCTGGTGAGAGCGTAACACATCCTCGCTTCCTAGCTACCTTGAGGGATTCTATGTCTGAACTCTCGCTTGATCTTGTCAATATCAAACTCGCAATAGATCCAACTTTCGCGGCGGCTCGTGGTGCGGCACTATACGCCCGAAGGCGCCAAGAGGTGCAGAGTGACTGCACCGAACGGAGTGAATGTGAAGAGATGAGGATTCACGAGCGATTGTACAATTCCACACAAGAGGATGTGCGCTCCATACGGGAGGATCTGCGTTGAAGCGGATTATATGAACTATTTTACTGCTGCTCGCGGAAGCCTTACAGTACTTCGCAGATTCACAGAGTAATAAAGATCTGGCAGCCAGCGGAAATATGATTCAAATCGATATCACAAGCTCTGGTAATTTCCAGTAAATGTCCGTTTTATGCAACTCCCATGCTGCCTACTTCTGTAAAGAGAAAGCGAAAGCGTAAGCGTAAGTTCAGTTCAATTTTGGTTAAATACATCCACGCATAAATATGTGATTGTTCCAACAAGGCTATTAGTAGAAAGAACAGTATCCCCTACTCACCCAAAAGTCGATGTGCTGTTGCAATAACTCGTGATCCAAAGGGACATATCTGATATCCGGCCGATCCGCCAGAGCCTAGACAGTGCTTTGGGTCTCATAGGCAGGAGTATACATGCTTCTCTGCATGCGAGTCAAGTTCTCCAGAATTGGTTCCTGGAGGATGGGAATCGATTCCAATGGATTCCCCGGAGACTTCTGGATCACGTCCACCCATTACTGGTATGGAACTTGTTCGACCGGATATCGAGCTTGGTTAAGCAAGCTGCATGTCTCCTCTATACTCACTGACTGTGCCACATCCGGGGAGACGAGATGGTATGATTGGCCGAGACTCTCAGTCTTTGATGCAATATATAGACGGCGGGCCTGTGAATTTCCATTTCGAGTTAGTTTTGCCTTTTTTGGTTTAGCGCCCAATACACCGGCAAGGTGTATGATCCTACCATTATTATACTAGGAAGACCGGGGAATATGATCAGGGCCCACGGCTGCGGTGATGTAATACTTGGTGGCCTTTTCTTATGCACCGTAACTCGAAGGGTTAAGGCACGGGGTAGTTGGAGCAGAAACATCCGATCGGTGGCTATAGGTCTCTTCTGGCCCCTCAGCCCTATGGCCTTGTGGCACAATGTGAGAGTGACAAGAAACAATATATCATTACATAGATGAACTGGAGGCATGGTGGATATAAGGAAAGTGCCAATATCAACACATAGATTTGTAGATGAAACTGAAGACGGTGATTGGTTCCCGACTTTAACTTGCTCCACATCTCAGAAACCAGACCTCCATCAGCACAACAACTCACTCCCCTGTCATATCAGATGAGATGCCCCTAGTACAATATTCTGATTCGGAATCCGACTCGGAATCTAGATCTTCTCTCCGCCCAGCCAAGAAACCTCGCCACAATATCAGTTCAAGTTCATCGCTACCGCCCCTACCTGCATCATTCCACAACCTCTATGCCTCGAGCACACGTGTGAGTGTGCAAGACAACCCCAGCCTCCATGGAGGCCGAAAACGCGTAATTCCGCATGTGGAAGGAAACTGGCCAACACATCTTTACCTCGAATGTGAGTGCCAGGTCTTGGCGTCATTCCACTCGTACAAGAAGCTAACTTTGACAGGGTACCCGGGGAAAGACGAGCTATCGCTCCTCGCAGATGTCATCTCTCAGTCTGGCCATGTCCCAGATGAAAACGCACCAGTAGTGCATAGTCTTCTCTATAGCGATCTGGGTGCCCAGCTACCCCTTCATATCAGCCTGTCTCGCCCGGTGGTTCTTCGCACCGAGCAGCGTGCGTCATTCACTGAGGCGCTGCAAAAGGCTATTCAGGACTCGCATGTTTCATCGTATGTCTTAACCTAAAGATTTCCTTTACCATCGTCTAATTCTCGAACTAGATTTGACGTCCAGCCGGACACTCTATATTGGTCATCTAACTATGAAAAGACACGCTGGTTTCTCGTCTTGGGCGTGCAGAGACCGAGCCATGATGGTTTGAACCGCCTCTTGAAGCTGTCAAATGACATTCTTGCTCGCTTTGGCCAGCCCCCGCTTTATGCAATATCTTCCACTCAGGGTCAGCAGACCAGTGTATCCCTCAGTAATAGGAGCAGCAATGTAAGCGGGGAGGATTTCTCGGGGTGCTTCCATATCTCACTTGCTTGGAGTCTGTCAGAGCCCAGCCTAAAGGAACGTGAACGGGTTGCTGGGATAGATTTACAAGCTTTACGGGAAATCCAGGTTGGATTCGATAGTGTAAAAGCAAAGATTGGGAATATTGTCGGTAGTATACCATTAGAAAAAATCTCATAAGGCGGGGTTTTCTTCCAGTAAATTGGACATTGTCTCTTGTGGCCACCTTGATACAACAACACGCAAAACTCGAGAATTATTACCTATTCGACCTGTTTCAGTGCATCAGATGCTCTTATAAATCATTCGAAGCGAAACAAAGTCGTACTAATTACCTGCTCCCTGCCAAGGCGAGAGTGGATGCGCATGCCTCCTTCAACCTGGTATCGGTAATTACGGTAAGATTACCCGCATCATCGCGTCTTCCTGCAACCAACTCCCATCTTTCTCCATCGACACCGGGCCACCATGCAGGTCCCAAGTGTAACTCTAGTGAGTCTCTCCATCACCAGTAATAAAGATATTGTCTAACCTTTATGTCTTATCTAGGAGGACCTCCAAGCCTTCCAGTCTAAACACTTCCCTGGTCAACAGCCGACCGTGTTGCCCCAAGAAAATGACCAAACCACAGACGAGGGTCTCGGTTACTACCCAGATGGAGTGAAGCGCACACTCACAGATGAGCAGATCCGGATTTTCAGACACAGCGAAATCCACGCCCTACTGCGAGAGAGACAGCTCCGGGATGATGAGGCGCAATACCAAGCTCGTATGCAGTCATCTCTAGATGATGGATCAGAGGGTAAACCTCACTCTGCACCGGTGAAGCGGCCTCTAGACGCAGAGTCTCAGACCGAAGGTGGGGATCAGAAGCGGTCGCAGTCACGGAAGGGGTCTAGGAAACACACCCCGGAGGACAAGCCTTCTAAGCTCCTAGACTACGGGGACGACTCTGATCAAACACAAATGGCGAGGCCACCGGTATCACAGATGCCCTACCAAGGTCGCAGGATTATCTCCTACGATGACTGACCCAATCCACCTGATATGCGAGATGTTCGAGTCAATTCCCCACCTCCAGGTTGAGTACCTGCCCAGAAGCCCCTATCTCCGATCCAATGGACAAGGCCAAGCCTACGCTCCTCGCGGAACTGACGAAGCCGTAAGTCTTCCACATTCTATTACACTACACCCTTGCCCATTTATGATGAATACATGTATCATCCTTAGCCGGAAAGCCATACCATCTACGGATGTGTAAGGCATTGACGACCTTAATCTTCTCTCTGAGGGCTTCTTCCTACATTTTATTCACCTGCGTACATTTTTAGTTGCGATTCTAACAGCTTATCAGTTTCGCTACTTCACGTCGGGTTTTCTTTATGAAAGCTTGTCGCGTTTCGCATCCGTGAAAGGACACCCAGCCCACTACTCCCACACGGACGTTCTCAGCAAGTCCTGTGCTATCGCTGGACGTATGAGATGGATTCTGGTGGCCTTGGAGCCAGTAGATCGTTGACGAAAGCACTTCCCTAGTCTCGACGACTCTACCGAAAAGAAGAGCGACGGGCGGTCCTTGGTGATCAATTCACCGGTGCAGCTAGCCACATCGGAATATTGCGGTCGCCGAGGGCGACGATGTTACCGTTGTTCGAATGTGTGACATCTATTACCCGGCTTCGGAGTCTCTCTCGTACTTGTTGAAGATGAATATCAGAGCCGTTGGCGTCGTCACAAAATGAGCAAGCTTGACCATATGTGCTTACACTGCCTTGAATGGGCTGACTGTTTGCAGTGAGCATAAGACCCGATATTCGGCTTATCCGATCATGAAGACCAAATTGATTGAAATGTAATTTTGACTGAGCTACCATATTTGACGCAAGTTTTCAATGTATTTCTTGGCCGAGCGTGCCCGCAGCGATGGCCTCATCCCAAGCACTAAATAGGTTCATCAGCATTTTGTCACTACTCGCTTTCTCGCGCCTCCACTCAGACGAACTTCGCACCTGAAAAGATCCCATGCTGGATCTCTCCATCCTCGCAACAAAAGAAGTGACAAAGCATTCACAGAAGCTGGCGAATGCGAGTCACTGCCAGCGTCAGCAGCAACCCTCTGGTCGCCGACAAGATATCTGTGCGATCCCAACGCCTGTTATAAGCCTCAACGATATCCTTCTAGTCCCACCCAAGACTGCATTTACATACCGCCCACTCTCAAAAGGATGATGACTGAGACTAACACGCACAGCCTGGGCCTGCTTGGTTACCTGCACGAGCTCAACCTTATAACATGCTGCAGGGACTGCCAGTAGCCACTAAAAGTAGGTGTTATCTCTAAGACCCGCGGGAGAGGCAAGCAGTCAATGTTTCGGCATATGATTATATTCGTAGAGGTCTATTCCCAAACACCGCTGTAGTGTATATATGCAAGGGACAAGTAAGTATGTAAGACAAAGCCAACTCAAGCAGCAACTCGAGACGAAACAAGGTATCGAAAGTATCAAAAAAATGCCCCCAAATGCGAAACCACAACGCCAGAAACCCTTTTCCAGATACAGTTTTATACAAGCCAGGCTAACTCAGCAACGTAAATGCAAAAGCGCACATGCAGCTAAGCATTATTCGCGCAAGAAAAGCTCGCACTGCTGGGGTTATCATGAAGAGCTTTCCCGGACACCCAAAGGCCAAGACCACACAGCGTGACACCAACAGAAATAGCAAAGAGATTCAGCAAAGTGAGCGCAATCTTCCTCGGCGACGAGAACCACAGACCCTTATTCATATACAACCAGAATATCCCACTGAAGCCGTACGTAAACCAGCTAGCAAAGAGCGCGGTAATCAAGCTGAGCAGGTTACTGAACACAGGAATTGCGGAGGAGATAATCCACGCCATGATCCACAAGGCGAGGGCAATACCGATCCACGATCCCGTAGCGATCCAGTCGCGCTTATGCATCCGGTCTGTTCCCTGGAAAATACGCAAGTAGACGTACTTGAACGCGACGTGACCGTTGATCACACCGGCGATGATAATAGTCGGCAGCGAGATGCCGTATGCGACTTTCGCGACCATCGGCGAGGCGGAACCCAGCGCTGGAGAGGTCACGCCGCTTCCGGCATACCGGTAGATCACTAGCGCGGCGGTGATATACAGGCCCATGTCGATACCTTGCAGGAGAAGAAGGGATTTTGTGAAGTCCTTCGGGTTCTTGAGTTCGGCCATTAGGCCGAAGAAGGCGGCGTGGCCGCAGAAGGCGAAGACGATGTTGCAGACTGCTGAGAAGCCGTGGAAGAGGTCTGTGTTGACGACTGCGACGACGTCTTGTCCGGGTTTTGTGATGCCGACGGCGACCATGACGATTATGACTGATGTCATGATGCTTACGAATGCTGGTGTTGGAAGGTTAGCGGATGGTTTGTCGGCGCGAAGGTGAGGATGGATGGAAACGCACAAACTATAGATAGCCATGACATCTTTTCGAGTGTGCGTGGTAATGAGCAGACGAAGGAGATGATCATGCCGACGATGCCGAAGACGATTGAGCAGGTGCCGTGGTTTGTGATGGTGTTCATGGCAACGGTGAAGGTCAACAGATGGCTGGCCATGATGAAGATGAAGAAGATGATCTGTGCAGCGCCGAGGACTTCTCGACCCCATTTTCCTGCTATCACTTCGCCGGCATCTGCCATCGTGGAGATGTGTGGATATTTCCATTTCATCTGTCCCATCACGTAGCCGGTGTACGTGGCCAGTGAACCCAGGAAGACCAAGACGAGGATCGCACTGATATAATTAGCTCCAATTTCTGCACTGTGAGTCAGAAGGTAAGCTTACGGAATCAATCCCAGACCTGCCACAGCGGCGGGCAGTGACAGCACGCCCAGTGATACTGTTTCGGCGACCATCACTATAGAATGTTAGATTGGAGGTTGATTTTGATATACTATCCATAGATAATCACATACGAAGACCACATTGCCTAAACAGGAAACAAGTCAGTCACAGAGCTATCGCAGTTTTCGAGCGATGTAAACATACCACCACTTGAGCACTTTGTACTTGACCTCAGCGAACTCCTCGTCGCCAAAGGCATCCTGCCTGACTTTGGGGACCTCGACAAACTTCTCCGGATCGGACTCCAAGTCGGCGGGATTGATATAGGGACTCTTCTCGTTGGAATCGACATCCAAACTAGCAGCTGAAGAGCTCATAGCGAAGATATCAAAACCAGAGTACACCCGAGAAGTAGATATCAGGTTGGAAATCGAACTTAAAAGCGGAGAACAAAAGCAAATCGCTTGCGACAACAGATTGAAAGAGATATAGAGATCTTAACGAAAGCGAAATAGTATTAAAAACTCGAATTGAACAAAAAAAGCACCCACCAAGTTAGTAAATTGAAGAATAAAGAATCCGCCACCCGAAACAGATGTGGATCTCCGACCTGCGGACCGAAACGACGAATCAGCTCGTCGGGACGTAATGGAAAGGCCGAAAAGGAGTTGGTCCGTTGGAGCCAAATGGGCAAATCTTGCTGGGCAAAACTGGGGAAAAGGAAAACTTCGCTCCGATGCCGGCCTCCTATATAGAGGTTGAAACCTCACTATTTTGCAGGAGTTCGAGTCTGGACTGAAGAAAATCTTTATTAAAGCTCTAAATGATTGAGGCGAATATTTCGGCCCGCGTGCGGATTTAGGGGAACTCTAACTCATGAGCTTATCTCTATCAGTCTAGCCTATTAGCGATGAACTTGCAGGATGTCGTGCTTGCATCTCTGCCCTAAAATCAGGAGTGGTTCGGATGCAGACCGGTCGGAGTTGGGTCGCTAGTTCCGGTTTCCAAGGTTCTTTTGATGAATTATATGACCTCATGTTATTTTCCGTGGATATAGCTACAGTTTTGAACTGGTTTTGTTATACGCTTTTCATCAACCATCAACCTAATCCGATTGTATAACGAAATGATGGTCTCGACGACACGATATCCCCCAAATCGTAGATGGCTATAACAATGTACAAGGCTGCTTTAATCTACGAGCTAGTAAAATGAGATCATGAAAGCACAATGTTTATTGTGTGAAGCTATAATCTGTAGAACTATACTATGGGTATGGTCTGTCCGTAGGCCAACGCGATGACAGGTCTTCTGTGGTTCGGCGTCGAGCCTGGAGCCAATCTATCAACCTCGTAAAGGGAGAAGCGGCCGCGTTCTGCTCAGCGGTCTATCACGTCGAGCATCCCCATTTTTAGTGAAGTCATTAACTCGGGGCCAGGTGCAGGGTACCCATATTCTTCAGTCCATGCTCACGAGTGAGGAGCCAAAGCGATAAGCGCATCGATGTAATTGGCGTTCTCCCACTCCAGGCCGTAGAATGAGTCTAGAATGCCCTCTATCGAGAAGTCGCCTTCGCGACAATTCGCCAGCATGAAGTGTGCGGCAACTGCCAGTCGTAAGCACCAATCTTTGGTCCAGTCTGCTTTTAAGGGGTAAGGCAGTCAATCTGTCGCGATGGACGTCCCGTTCCGTGTGAAATCGATCCGCTAGACGGCGGGGCGGAGCTCTGTGCATAGAAGTTTCGTGACGATATATACCCATTCATCCGGCAGTTTGACAAAGAATGGAGGCCAAACTGGTCCCTCCTCTGCCGGCCAGAGAACTTTGGACCAGACGGGGAATGTATTGAGCGTTATGTTATCGATATTGTCGGCGTCGATCGGTGGCATTCGAACAGGGACGTTTAGGAGCTGCCTAGTCACTCCGACCTGCGTTGCGACCGCAGCATTGTGATGGTAAGCGAGGATTGACTCGGCGATCTCGGAGATATCAGACCTGGATGGGTCGGCAGATGCCCTGCGACTCGGCGAAGGCATCTGACAGCTTCGAACCCTTCTTTTTCATGAGTGGCTTTTGCTTGTGCGGTATGATGACTAGGAATATGCCACTTGTTCAGGGGTCTTCGGTTGACGATTAATGCATGCACAGCTTTGAAAGTAATTTGGTATCTTACCTTAGTTGGGGTTGCCTT